TACACTCTCCTTTGGTAGCTCCGTATTGATGTTATCTATGCCAGGACTATTTCCCCTCTTCATTTTTTTTGGATTCCTTTTTAACCCCCTCCTCTCTAATTGGTGTTGTGTCAATTTCTTCGATAATTCAAATTCATTCTCTTGGGTGGTGCAACCTTCGGGTAAATATGTTGTTTCTGTTGGGACATTAAGGACCTCTTCAAAATGCTCTTTCCATTTCTCAAAAATTTTTCCATCCTCAATGATCACCATTTTTGGACATTATGCCACTTGTCCTGTTACTTTTTCTCCCACAAAGCTGCTTGGTCAGTTGGTAAACTTCACTCAGACGGTTTTTATTTGATGCATTCTCTGCCTGGTTAGCTACATCTTCCAGTTTTTTCCTTTTATCAGCTCTTGCTCTTCTTTTCACTTCTTTGTCTTTGGTCTTATATTCTTCTCTCTTAATTTCCTTTATTCTCTCCGAATTTGATCTTCCTATTTCTTCCTTAATTTCTCTCTTTTCATCTATGGCTCTGTAAGTTTCTGCAGTTAGCCAATCTTTGTGCTTCCTTTTCTTCTGGCTCAGTATCTTTTCTGCTGTTTCATTATATACTTCTTTTACAAGAGTCCATTTTTCATTAGTTGTGTTTTCGTCATCGACCAGCTGCTGAAACCTATTCCTTACTTCAAGTTGGAATCCTTTGCTTAGTTTTGGATCTTTCAACTTGTTGACATCATACATCTTCCTGTTGCTTTCTTTTAGCTTTAAGTTTTTCAGAGCTTCATCTTTACTTTAGCCAGTACTAGATGGTGATCTGAATTGGCACCAAGCATAACTCTTACATCACATACAGACTTCTTGTATCTGCCGTTCACCATTACATGGCCAATTTGGTTCCTATCTCTTCCAGTAGGTGACTCCCATGTAAACTTGTGTATGTCGAGGTGCTTAAAGAGGGTTCCACGGATGATTAAGTTATTAAGAGCGCACATTTCTGCTAACCTCGTGCTGTTTTCATTCATAGTCCTAATGCCCTCTTGTCCTATGACTCTTTCCCATCCTTCATTTAACTTTCCCACTTTTGCATTTGCATCACCCATTACCATCAGTATGTCATGTTTTGGCACTTTTGAAATCTCTCTTTGAAGCTGTTGGTAGAAGGTGTCCTTATCCGCTTCTTCTGCTTCGTTTGTTGGGCTGTATAATTGTATTATTGTTAGCTTAGCAAAGTGGGAGAAAAAGCGTGGTGCGCTGATGATTCTGTCATTAACAGGATTTCATTCCATCAAGCTTTTTCGGCTTTTCCTGCTAAGTATAAGTCTTACTCCTATATGGTGCTCTTCAGCTCTGGAGTACAAGATCGTCTCTCCAGAGGTTGTCTTAAGTTCACCAAAACCTGTCCATCTCACTTCGCTCAGTCCCATTATGTCCAACTTATATCTGTTCAACTCTCTTACAATGTACGCTGTTTTTCCAATCTGGAACATTGTTCTTACGTTCCAACATCCGATCTTGGTGATGTTTTTAGGTGTTGTTATGGATGGCATCTGCGTTCCTTTCAGGTCGTTAGGGTCCTCTCGGCTTTTCCTAATTGCCGTCATTCTCTCGAATTCCCAATGAAGATAATCCTCATCCGGAATCTCGCATGTCGCCCTTGCCCTTTCTTCCGTGGTACTTATTGTTGTAACGGTTTCCGTAATTAATTGTTTTTTATGGAAGGAGATGATAAGCCTCAAGTCCAACCCCCAATTTTATGTCTGGGGGCCAATATAGTAGTTGCTAACGGTCTCCTACTAAATCCGGATTGTAATCAGAGTTTTCTCTCCTAGATGAGTTGCCGGCCAAGGCTTTCGATCGATCGAGCCTCATCTTCCCGTCCCTTGCAAAGTTAGCCTGGGGCCGAGAGGTGCCCAGTATCCATCTGCTTCCACGTGGAGGCATCGCATAGGACTTGTTGTGGAGAGGCTATGTACAGGCAGGGGAAGACATACAAATTGCTTCCCCTTTCGCATTGCTGCTAGCCAGCGTTGAGGGCTGAAAGCGAGAGGTGACAAGCACACAGACACCAACAACAACACACTAGACGCATCACACAACATTTAGCAGAATGCTGTTAATATAGTGAACAGTAAAGAAAGAAACTTTGTATATTTTTTACTGCTTGTTTGTAATAATTTGTATTAAGTTTTGGAATCAAATTAAGATTTTGTAATAATAAATAAATTCATTCAGTGTTGGTTAATTGTTAGGTATACACGTACTAGTATTTAAAAATCTCAAAACTGACAGTCATGCGGTTTTGGGGAATTTCCTTCTTAGAAAGGGGGTTATGGGTATATATTGTATTAACACTTGCAGAATTAAATCCAAGTTCCTTTAAATACAATTCAAATGATGACCCTTGCAAACAAAGACAACGCTGTTACTAGTTTTATCAGCTGGGTTCATTACATACCGATCGTGTCATCTATCATCTAATTCTTGTCTCACTTCTGCATTGTTAAAGAGAGAAGGATAGATGCATGAGTTTCATACGGCCCCTCAATCGCTTACTGTGAGATATTTTTATTGTAAAGGCATTTATCGTGGGGAATGGTTGTGTATAAAATTGATTTTGGTAAAATCTTGTGATTACAAATTTTCAAGAACTAATTCCTTTGAATTTATAAGTATCACTTCTCAAATATATTTAAGGAATGAAGCTAATTTCAACTTATGTTATCCGATATAACATAACTTGGGGCAGTTTACGCTTTATAAACCGCGAAGCGGTTTATAAGAAAGCGTAAACTGCCCCAAGTTTTGTTATATCGGATAACATAAGTTGAAATTAGCTTCATTCCTTATAATTTAATTTCTGTGTAGACAATGAGACAATATTTCCTCCGGAAAAAGGCTTCAAATTGAGAATTATTTTAAAAGTAACGTCAAGCGGAGTAATACGTTTTTGATGTAACTCATTGTGACGTAGGCAAGTTATGTTATACAAAATGTTATATGTTCCTCTGAATGATTCAGCCAATGAAATTGCTTGATACAAGTGAAATTAAATTATTGTTGTATAGTACTCTTGAAGTTTCCCTTAAACTTCCGTTAATATCTTAGTGAGGAGTAAATAAACTGGAACCCGCTATGTATCTTTGTTTGTAAGGATTTTTATGGACTTTCGGAATCCATTATAGATATGGTAATTCAAATTCATTTTGGTTGTTTGGGATATTAAGAATATTCAAAACTGACATATGATTTTGAAGAATTTCTTCCTTAGAAAGGGTGCTATGAGAATAAGTTGGATTACTGTATTGGATTACCAGGCCATTTGTAGAAATAAATCAAAGTTCTTCTAAAATACAATCTATATAATGAGCCTTACAAACGAAGACAGTCATGTTACCTGCTTTGTCAGCAGGGACCAGTATGTACCTATCGTGTAAATCTAAATCATTCTGGTAGATTTCCTTTTTAATTAGTGTACTTATATATGAATTTGTACAATTTTTTTGCATCTGCAAAATATGCATCGCTTTCTACTTTGTTTACTTTGAAAATACTCCAAACTCCAAAGGTTTAAATGTGTAATTTGCAAGTAGGGAGAGAGTGTTATCAGTTTTTTGAACTTTTGCCCAGTCCCTTTGTAATTAACTGAATTACAATAAAATATGTTCAAATAGAATTTTTTTCACTTCTTGATTATTGAATACTATACACTTATACACTGGGTGTGAGTGGGATAGCTCACGACAGAGAACTGATTCCCCGAGGGCTTGCCCGAGGGGAATAGTTTCTGTCAAGGGTTTGATAAAAGAGCTATCCCACTCACACCCAGTGGATAAGCGTTTTATTATACTGATGTATGATATAATTTCTGAGGTTTGAATTTGTTAGTAGTAAGATAATACTGCAAGAATAATCTGAAAACCTGATGACGTCACAATGCTATTGAAGTCATTATGACATCGTCAGTCAATAGATTTATCGCTGGAAATCAAAATTGGAGGCAAAAATTGCATGAAAATTTTCCGAGGGTGGATAGCAAAAACTATACCCCGGGGTATAGCTTTGCTATGCATGAACTATTAAAGATAGCTATTTTACCCTCTAAACTTTATATAGGAAACATTTTAACAGAAGTATAATAAAGAAGGATATATGGTTTTCATATTACCCCTTAATCTTTTCATGCGCAATTGTAACATAGATCTGATTCATTTAATCCATTCTGACAAAGTGTCAACGTCCTCTTTTTTCATATCTGGCCCATCGCCTGGCGGAATCTTCTACAGAATCCTGATAGATCTATATATATTCATGAAATTCCGATGCCAGTTTAAGGATCGGGTTCCCTATATTTAGGACCTTTTAAATAAGCCATATAAGGGCCTCATTTACATCACCTTAATAATGTGTCCAGCACTACAATGAAGAAGAACATGCACACGATGGAGGGTTATGTTTCACTGAGATATTCGATATCCAGACTATGTAAAGTTGTCTAGTAATTAAAAAAGTTTTTTATCGAATATTGCTTCCAAACATTCTAATTACAAGAAAACTTCAAAGGGCCTGGATATAAAATATTTGAACTATAATTTAAGATTTTTTTCAGCGTAAAAAAAAATAAATAAATAAACATAATATGTTTGACGATTGTATCTAGTTTTATACCGTCCCAAAATTCCGGAAATTTTAATCGGATTTTTTTCGTTAATAGTGCGTACACACCTCGATCCGGTGTTGATTTCACAACAAACTGAAATCAAAGTTTTTCAGTGAATTTAATATTATTACAAAAATAGCCTAAGAAGGTAGACTTGAACTGTATAAAAATCATCTAGGAAGGTTAACACAAAGGCCGACCGCTACATAATCTCTTTTAGGTACATTTTTATGTAAGAAAGAACAGAAAGAGATTTTTTTTTTAAATATAAATATCAGTAAAAGTAAATCCTACATGCCATTTTATATTAAAATCTAAATTTTAAACAAGCATTTTAAAGTAAAGGCTTATTTTTTTCTCTCACATATGATATGTAGTGTTTTGACATGAGTTTCTAGAAGTATGGATTTTTTAAAATATAAAATGGATTGTGCTAAATTAAGCGATTATACCATATAGAACATATATATTATCATAGTCTACCTCTAGTTGTTTGTGTCATTGTAGATTCATGTGATGGACACAGACAAACAGGGTTACATAGGGAACCTTGAGGATAAGTCTGTCCCAGAGCTACAAGAATTACTGACAAGACAAGAGAATATTCTCAGAAAAAGGTATGTTTGTTTGTATGTTTAAAAAAAAATGAAAGAAATTTGACAGAACCTGGTTGGGGAAAACTGCACGTTACATTTATATTTTAATAATAATAATATAATACAAAACAAAGAAAAGCTGAAGACCAACACCTTGAGGTTAAAATTGCGGAGGATTCTAACATACGGATACCGAAAGGTATTCAATTAGGATCTGTAACAAATATAAAACAGATCACCAACACTTCTCACAAATCTAATCATATAATATTCAAACCTTGGTATCTTAAAAACTTGATAGAAAGAGAAAAACCTTTGAGATATTCCAGGATTTGGCATGTATTTATTGAATGTAAAATAATTAGAGAAAAAATTGTGGGATTACCAATTTACTCTTACTGGGACATACTGGAATACATCATATTTGAGATATCAGTTAATGTTCAAGATACCAAAGTTCAACTGTACTATGCTGGTTCAAAAGTTTACATTTACATAAGCTGTGTTTTTTCTACTAAGCCAACTGTGAAATTGATTTGAAGACCATTTTCGTGTATACTCATGTGTAGAAATATACACGGAGAAACATGTTGTTTGATGTCACAATGAAAGAGTTTATAGGGCAGCAAAAAATTCAAATATTGAATATATTTTAGTTGCATCCAAACATGTAAAATGTAAATATAAGGAATGATACACAGACTTGCACATAGGCATATTTTTCATGAAATATGCCTACGTGACAAGTCTGTGTGATTCACACACCAATAACTCACACAAAATTTAAAAACATTCTTTAAATCAAAATCTATAATATTTTATGACAGTTATTTTACTGCAGATGATTTTTGAATCTTTTTTTTTCTAGAAAATTTGTTTCCAATCTTCCTGACAAGGGAAGGAAAATCACTCAGTTTAGAGAGAAACTGATAGAATTAATAAGTGAAAAACAGAGGCTTGTGTCTGATACATCACAAGAACCTAGAGGAAACACACCAACGAAAAATAAACTGGACAAAAATCCAAACATAAAGCCAACATCAAAATATTCAGCAGTTTCAAAGGACAGAGCATTTCCTGCAGTGAGAAACAAAGACTTCCCAGTCAGAGAGAATGTACTTAGGGATGTGGTTACCTTGGAAAATAAAGTCGGTTTGGAAGCAGATAAGCAAGACAATGAGAAATTTCTATTTGTTGAAATCCCCCAATCTCCAGTAAAAATGTGTATTACAAGTGACTTTGCAAATTTAAGAGATAAAAATATACAAGGTAAAAATAACAGAGGTGATATCACAGAAACACAAGAACATCATATCAAACACAAAGTAATACAGGAAACGCTGAATGTAAATGTTGGAGAAGTGACAATGTTGGAGAAGGCCATGGAAAATATGGATATTGATTCATGTTCCTCAACGTTAGGATCTGAAGAACTTAAAAACAAAATACTGGAGAATTCCACAAAACTCACACCATATTTCAAAGCCAACAGGTACAATACATTATACAATTTGGTATAAATTTATGAATAGATCAAATTTTGAACATACATGTATTTGACTTTTCTCTTACTATTTACATTGAACAGTTTCCTAAAGATACACAATGTTCAAGATCTCCCAGACAAATACAAATGGAGGTCAAGACAGGGTTATCCAATCAAAGAACAGAACACTTCAGCATCATGTCAAGGTGAGGTAAAGGACGAATCAGCTGCCACACCCCCAGTATATAAGTATGAAGAGGCCCAGCTAATCTCACTGAATGAGTCAATGCAGCTTCAGCAAGCACAACAGAGGCACCAGGAGGTAGACCATTGATACACCTATGTGTAATGTACTACATGTACTAGTAAATGTTAAAAACCTCAATGCACATATCAAATATACAAAATCAAAAACTTGTAACATGTAATGCTTACTTATGCCTTTATCTTTTGTTTTGAACATATTTTATTGACAAGATGTCAAAAGGATTGGACACAAGTTCCAAAAACTTAGATAGTTCTCTCCCATCTTTTCTGAGTAAACTTCCTTCATAATAAAACTAATGAATTATAATGCAGGAATTACAAGCCAGGACTGCAGCAGAAAGACTTGCCAGGTCACTCAAAATAAAGATGGAGCCATACAACCCAGAGGGAGGAAATATGGCGTATCCTTCATCATATGATTTTTTTTAATCATTTCTGGTGGTTGTAATAAGCATTAAGCTCTGTACCAAAATCTGAAGTTAATTAGCTCAGGGTCAGGGTGTTTGGGGTTGGGGGTTCTAATGTTTATGTCTTTCCGTTTAATTTAATTAGCAGATAAACTACATGCATTATTATGATGATCAAGGGTGCTTCTTCTGAAATTTTTGGCCCAAGGGTCAGGGAGGCTTTGAGAGGGGTGAGGTGGGGTGCTCTATTGATCATATAATGTAAGTGCATTATTTCTTTGAAAATCTTTTTTGTGAGCTTGTTCTCAGTACCTCCAGTTTTATACTTTCATTGATCCAATACAAAGCTGTATTTTACTCAGGTGACAATTATGACCCTCTTGAATTTAGACTATCTATTCTTATTCCTTAACCTGAGAACAGCTACAGAACTCAAGTTGACCAGATGGACACAGACAGTGATGATGAAGAGGAAGTAGAGTTTTATCCTGATGCCGTTGACTGAACTGTGTGGAAATCAAGCATTGATTTGACTATAGATACAAAGTGAAGTTTTATCCTGATGCAGTGTGGAAATCAAGCATTGATTTATCTTTAGATATAATACTGGTTTATGTGGGAATCAAGCATGGATTTGATTATAGATACAAAGTGGAGTTTTATTGATTTGACTGTGTGGATATAATGATTTGACTGTGAATAATCTATGGAAATTAAGCATTGATTTGACTGTAGATACCCATATGTTTGAGAAAATCTTCACAATTTAGAATTATTTTGCTGTCATGATCTTATTGACTGTTTCTTCGAAAGCAGATTAAGTCCAGTGAAAAATTAAGTGACATCAAGTAGTACTGATGTATTTTTGTGATTATAAGAATACTGTATGAATAAAGAATGTTCAAATAAAATAATTTTCTTTTTTGTAAAATTAAGGCAATTATCTGGTTCAAATCATCATTAGATATCAACATGTTCATGGTCAAGTACATTTTTTGCTCTGCCTCTACAAGTAACTATATGTACCGGTAGTATGTTTTTCATCTCTTTGATATTACTTGTCATCCCATAGACTTTTTCAGTGACCATTTTCTCCGTTGACCCAGTCTGGTGCAATTCACCTTCCGATTGTTCACTGGAAAAGTTGTGCTGTGAGTTTTAGATTAATTTTTTGGTTTAAGTGAAATCAATACAAATTTGTATGCTGCATATTCCACTAATCTATCTAGTGAGTGATCTTTAATAAATGATATGCAAACCAAATATCAAAGGTCAAAGACATGGGCTCAGGTAATTTTTTCTCAAAATACTTGTCTCAAATATGTATTTTCTGTCTTTAAACCATTTTGACTAATATGTATTTTCTGTCTTTAAAGTTTTTTGAGCAGTTTTAGCTCACCTTTAAGTGAGCTTCTGTGTCACTATATTGATTAGACATGCATGGAAGATGCTTCTAATGTGTTGTCCGTCTGTAAACTTTTCATATTTTCGACTTCTTCTCAAGAACCACTGGGCCAATTTTGACCAAACTTGGTACAAAGCATCCTTGGGTGAAGGGGAATATAAATTGTTAAAATGAAGGGACATATCCCCTCGCAAGGGGAGAGGTCTCACTATCAAGAAAAGACAAAAGTAGGGTTGGGTCATTAAAAAATCTTCTTCTCAAGAACCACTGGGCCAGTAAAGCTGAAACTTATGTGGGAGCATCCTGGGGTAGTGTATATTCTAAATTGTTCAAATCATGACCCCCGGGGGAAGGGCGGGGCCACAATGGGGAATCAAAGTTTTATATAGAAATATATAGGAAAAATCTTTGAAAATCTTCTTCTCAAGAACCACTGGGCCATAAAAGCTGAAACTTATGTGGAAGCAGGTATAATGTAGATTCTAAATTGTTCAAATCATGATTTCCGGGGGAAGGGAGGGGCCACAATGGGGAATCAAAGTTTTATATAGAAATATATATAGGAAAAATCTTTGAAAATCTTCTTCTCAAGAACCACTGGGCAAGAAAAGCTGAAACTTATGTGGAAGCATCCTGGTATAATGTAGATTCTAAATTGTTCAAATAATGACCCCCGGGGGAAGGGCGGGGCCACAATGGGGAATCAAAGTTTTATATAAAAATATATAGGAAAAATCTTTGAAAATCTTCTTCTCAAGAACCACTGGGCAAGAAAAGCTGAAAGTTATGTGGAAGCATCCTGGTATAATGTAGATTCTAAATTGTTCAAATAATGCCCCCCGGGGGAAGGGCGGGGCCACAATGGGGAATCAAAGTTTTATATAAAAATATATAGGAAAAATCTTTGAAAATCTTCTTCTCAAGAATCACTAGGCCAGAAAAGCTGAAAGTTATGTGGAAGCATCCTGGTATAATGTAGATTCTAAATTGTTCAAATCATGACCCCCGGGGGAAGGGCGGGGCCACAATGGGGAATCAAAGTTTTATATAGAAATATATAGGAAAAATCTTTGAAAATCTTCTTCTCAAGAATCACTAGGCCAGAAAAGCTGAAAGTTATGTGGAAGCATCCTGGTATAATGTAGATTCTAAATTGTTCAAATCATGACCCCCGGGGGAAGGGCGGGGCCACAATGGGGAATCAAAGTTTTATATAGAAATATATAGGAAAAATCTTTGAAAATCTTCTTCTCAAGAACCACTGGGCCAGAAAAGCTGAAACTTATGTGGAAGCATCCTGGTTTAATGTAGATTCTAAATTGTTCAAATAATGACCTCCCGGGGGAAGGGCGGGGCCACAATGGGGAATCAAAGTTTTATATAGAAATATATAGGAAAAATCTTTGAAAATCTTCTTCTCAAGAACCACTGGGCCAGAAAAAGGGAAGCTTATGTGGAAGCATCCTGGTATAATGTAGATTCTAAATTGTTCAAATAATGACCCCAGGGGGAAGGGCGGGGCCACAATGGGGAATCAAAGTTTTATATAGAAATATATAGGAAAAATCTTTGAAAATCTTCTTCTCAAGAACCACTGTGCCAGAAAAGCTGAAACTTATGTGGAAGCATCCTGGTATAATGTAGATTCTAAATTGTTCAAATAATGCCCCCCGGGGGAAGGGCGGGGCCACAATGGGGAATCAAAGTTTTATATAGATTCATTTCCAGAGAAATATATAGGAAAAATCTTTGAAAATCTTCTTCTCAAGAACCACTGGGCCAGAAAAGCTGAAACTTATGTTCTAAATTTTAGGAATCATGACCCCCAGGGGAAGGGCGGGGCCATAATAGGGAATCAAAGTTTTACATAGAAATATATAGGAAAAATCTTTGAAAATCTTCTTATCAGGAACCACTGGGCCAGAAGAGCTGAAACTGATGTGGAAGCATCCTGGTATAATGTAGATTCTAAATTGTTCAAATAATGACCCCCAGGGGAAGGGCGGGGCCACAATGGGGAATCAAAGTTTTATATAGAAATATATAGGAAAAATCTTTGAAAATCTTCTTCTCAAGAACCATTGGGCCAGAAAAAGGGAAGCTTATGTGGAAGCATCCTGGTGTAGTGTAGATTCTAAATTGTTCAAATCATGACCCCCGGGGGAAGGGCGGGGCCACAATGGGGTATCAAAGTTTTAAATAGAAATATATAGGAAAAATCTTTGAAAATCTTCTTCTCAAGAACCACTGGGCCAGAAAAGCTGAAACATATGTGCCCATGGAAGGATCATGGGGTAGTGTAGATTTCAAAATGTCTAAATTATGATCATAGGGGTAGGGTGGGGATGCATTATGTATAACAAGGGGAAAATCTGGTAATGAACAGAATGGTCAAAGCTTCAGGTGAGCGATGTGGCCCATGGGCCTCTTGTTTAATGGGAGGTTCTTATTTTCTTCTTAAAGTTAAAAATCTTTTGTTCAGATTATATTATATCCCTTTCATTTTTACTACAAGAAATGCTGTTTGAGATTTTCATAATGCCTGATATATTTTTTATTGATAGAGCATAAAAAATCTATTTTTTATTAAAGAAAACATCTTTTTCTAAAGAAAAAAGTTATAATTGATATGATACACAATGTAGGTTATTCTAAGAAACTGGAAGACTTCCAGTAAATACCATATAAGTGGAAATTTTTGCGAGTCCCATTAATGATTTGTCCTTAAAAATGAGTATTTTACTTTTAGCGAGAAGTAATTTTAGCAATATTAAAAAGCTCACTAAAGAAGCCACTACAACAAAAACGCAATCAATTTTTAGCAATATTTGATTATAGCAATCTCTGAGCATCCTTGCTAATAATGTAAAAATGAGATCCTCTCTAAAAATTCTGCTTATAGGGTACTATGTGATCCTGTATTTGGTTATCTTTTCTGATGCATAAAGTTCCATTTGGATAACAACAAGATAACAATTTATAAAAGCACAATATAGATAAATTACTTTAATGCAAATGAACAGTGTATGAATATATTCAAAACAATAACATTGAGGTATGTACATTGTATAGATAAAAATATATATTATAATTATGAGTACATATAACTTATAGTGACATCACAAAATGCAATATAGGCAAACAAATGGTTAAAGGCAGAGATTTTTTACCGGGTGGTAAATTCCAGGTGAGGGAGGGGCTTATTCTGTACAGGTGTGAATGCCTTGGGGGCTAGCAGTCTACCTGTAAAAATATTTAATCCCTATACACAGGAAGTGAAATACACATTGAAATACCCAGATGTCAAACTTTACCTGTGAAAACAAATTTTTAGAAAATTTTTTAATTAGTAGTAAATGAATAATTGAACCTTTTCAATTATTTATTTATATACTGTTTGAATACAGAAATACCCATGAAATTTTTGATTACACACATAAATTCAAATATTAAAACAAAAATTGTTTTAGATGTTAGTGTATGTGTTAATTTAAAAAAAAAAACAACTCCTGTGACAACCAAATTAGACTTTAATAATTCATTCATCCCCAGAATCCCATCTATTAATTAAATGAAAAAGGAGCCATGTTAACTACATTTCACTAAAAAGAATTTCTAGGATTTTCAAAACCTTAATAAGGCTTTGTCACCATGAAACATGCTAAAAAAAAAGAATGCTTGTAAATTCTTACATGAATAAAAAAGGAAAATATAAGAACGATTAGAAACATTATTTTTAAATTTAATTACATCACACAGTGCTGCTCTGAACCTTATCAATAACATTTCCAATCTAGGTTTACTGTTTAGCATATTAAAATTAATATTCAAATTTCATTTGAAAAAAGAAGGTTTTATTTATCAAAGGATTTTTTTTAAAAAATGCTTATTATATTATAATCCTTTTAAATACTAAAGATATTTTAAATTCATATTTTATCAATCTAAAATTACATAGCAATACAGTTTCTGTATACCATGTTCAGTAAACATCAAAACACTTCATTAGTACACAATTATAAGCTCTTGGTTTTTGAACAAAACTTCTTTTTTTCCTTAAATAAAAATATTTTAACTTTTTATTCAATGAAAAATAAAAACTTTTTAACTAATATTGAATGAGAGATTGATATGTGAAAACAAATATTTTTTTTTAAAAAGCAGCAACAAAGACTAGACTTGCATGAGTATATATGGTGTACAGAACAGAAATGCACAAATCCCTAATCCATACATTTATGAATATGTTATTTATTATTGCTACCAAAAGACGTTTTTGCTCAGCAACTGCATCTTTTAAAAAATAAATCATGTATTTTTTAATGTTTTCATCCAATATTTTTTAATCAAATGAATCGACAGAACAATTATTTTTTTCTATCTTGAATAGCCATTTTAAAAGCCTACATGTAAAATAGTAATTAGAACTTGAACTGTAATGTATAAACTTAACAAAAAGAGTTACCCCAATACATTCCTGGGTTTATGATTTAGTTAAACAAACTTGAATCTACAATATACCTGTGAAAGCATCCATATATTAAATATGACCAGTCATAGCTGTGCTTTTCATGGGAAAGACTTGTCCTAGATATGTATTCCTAATAAGAAATCCCAAGAACCATTCAAGTTTAGAAATAGAGGTCCAGTTAAAACGCACTAAAACACTAGGATCTTTGTATAACCAATTTGTCATAAGAACATTTATTTCAGTCTGAATGAAGCAGGGGCAACAAATTATTATTTTTTGATCTGTATATAATTTACATGTATATCCTTCTGTTTATAAAGGATACATTCTGAATAATTAATATTTGAAAAATTTATTGCAACCGTTAATAGGAAGCAGAATGATCAACAGCAAAATATACATATCACAGATAATAAGGCAATATAATGCCGATCTAAATAAAAATACATGTATAAAAACTCTATTAAAATATAATTAATAATTTTAATTTAATCACAATTATTAAAAAATGACATGACTTATCTGGTTAATTCTTGCTTGAATTTAGCAGACTAGCTGGTATTGCACTTTAATCATACAGGTATTTAAAAATATATATATAAAAAAACATTTACAAGCAATCTTACAAAGTACTGGACAATAACTACTGTACATCTTTACAAGATGCCCAGCATTACCCCCTTGAAGCAACTTTAATATATTAAAAGAGTGACATTATTCATTGGTTTTCCATATGTTAAAGTATCTTTAAAACTTTAAAGAGCTATAGAAGAATGTTTAAAAAACACTTCTGTTTAAAAAACAGTTCAAATGATTTTCAAATTAATTAAATGATAACAGAATGCAAAAAATCATGTTGAATATCAATGTTTCGGAAACAGTCAAATGTATATTGATCCATTAGCATTTATCAACTGCTAACTTTGATAATTTTCTTTTTGTGAAATTCATTGTTCCTAGAACATTCTTTCATTTTTTACTATTTTTTTTCACCAGAAATTAGTTGAGGCCTAGCTTCTACATAGAAACAATATAGAGAAGGTCCATACTGAGCCATTTTTCTGTCCATTCCTGGCCATTTCACAACATACTAGCTTAAAAATGTCTCGACTGTTCCCATCCTCCAAGCTATTTACATATGTATATTCAATAAATATTTCAATGAGAATCAGAGTAACATATGAAATGTGCACACAAGATAGCATTTAGTTTAACTTGTATTCATTATGCTCGTATTTTGAGTGATACGGTTTCCAAGGAGAGGTCTTCTTTCTTCATCACTGTCAGAGTTATCTCCCTCTGAGCCATGAGCTGGTTTTTTCAAAGCATTTTCTGCAAAGCCATACACACCATTTAATTCAAAGAATATCATAACACAGAGACAAAAAGATTACATAAACCAAAACCAAGGAAGCAGGATGATAATTCATGCAGGTCTTATGTGCCATTTCCAAGAGACACAATATGATACATGCAGCATGCTAGGACTGAGTTCTGTTGCCCAGGAGGGGTTCTCTCTCACTGTCATAGACGATGCTGCCATTTTCACTGACAACCAGACTTTTCATGAGTTTTGCTGTAATCCAAAACATAACCCACTCTCAATAAGAGATATTGCAGGGAATTTAAGAAAGCAAATAATCAAAAAAGCGAAACGAAGAAAAAACTGATTATAGGAAAAGTCAGTTCATAAAGTTGGGTCATTGGAGAGTTTAAAATATATTGTTATACCCCTACTAAAACAGTCCCTATATAATTTCTTTTTCGGCAATGAATCAACAGAATTTCATCCCCACAAAAAATTGTTCTTCTACAGTTTATATGTACCAAATTTGACTAATCATAGTTGTCGGAGGAATTGCATTTTGAAAAGACAATTCAATTTGATTTATCTTACATGTAATCAAATACCGTATAAGCAGAATTTTTAGCGAGGATTTAATTTTGGCATTATTAGCGAGGGTGCTGAGATCGCTAAAATTGAATATTGCTAAAAATTAATGTTGTGTTAATTGTAATAGTTTCTTAAGTGAGTATTTCAAAATGCTAATAATCAAATAATAAGAACAAATGAAATTTTCTAGCTAAAATTGAAAATATACATCTTGTCAAGTTTGACTGAAATTTAGTGAGTGCAGGAGGATTTTCAAGTTATCTATATTTTGTAGAGAAATGTTATTTTAGTAATCATGAAAACACCAGTCATGGAAGTTGTAATACTCAAAATTGTGATCTACAACATGTACCATGTTTTATAAAAAAATAACCAAATACTACAGTGGGATTGAGTATCATGCAGTTTTACATTCTTACTATGCAAGATAACATTGTTGTGATTATGAGAAATGATAATCTTTTAGACATGAGTACAAAGTTTTATTGAAAGTGAACAGACTCTGAAGAGTAGAATTTCCAGAATTAAAAAAAAAAAGACTAATGTTTAGATGATGAAGAGTTATTTAGTGTATTTCTCTGGTTTTTGACCTGTACAGGTCAATTAGTTCCTTCACAATGAAAAACTGTTTACCTGTAACTTTATATTGAAAAAAGTTTCAAAATTGTTTAAAAAGGATTAAAATTTTAAAGAGTACATTAAAAAAATCAGGCAGCATGTCAAGGCTAAAGCTGCCTCTCTATCAAACATTATCAAAATATATGACAATCAAATTAATGAATGCAGAAGTGCAAGAAATGGCATGTTATATTTATTTTTTAGGAACACTTACAGTGCAGTGTTTGAAATTCACCATGAATTAAGATGGACAAGCAGGGCTGACAGCTTAAAGTTGTCAGCCCTGCCAAAATTTGAGTTGCCAGAGAAAATGTTTTTTATGAATTAGTTTGAGCAAAAATATGCATGGGGCCAGATCCATGAAAATATGTTTGCCCACGAAAAATGTGTGGGTCTCAGGTGGTAGGGTGCACAGTTATTTCAAACACTGCTTACATGTACACTACCTGTCTACTTACCATTATTTGACCTGACTCCAATTTTGCTTGGAAGGAGAGTCAACAGAGCTAGGAATGCTACAGCTGCCACACCCCCGGGGACAAAAGTCAACACCAGGCGATAGTATCCTTGACAGCTAGGACAACAAGATCTGACCAAAAAAACATCATCAAACTAGAAAACTGACCAGTCAGTAAGGGCCCCGTGAAAGGGTAGAATTAAAAGGGTGCAGCTAATTACGGAATAATTAAAAAATATGTGAAGAATAAGCAACAGCAATTGTATTCTTAAAATTTCAAGATAATTTCTGAATATCCCAAAGACCTGTTAATAATATCATTGTAGTTGTATTTACATAAGGCAATAAAGAAGAACTCAACATTGAATGTATATTTAAACAATATAGAAGCATGTGCTAGTTTACAAAATGCCAGTCTTCAATGAATGAAAATATCATGAAGGCTTGACCTTAACTTCAAAACAAACAGCAGTTGCAGACAAAGGTTTTCATTAATCTGAAAGTGACGGATAAAGATAAGCCTATTAAATTTTCTGCAGCAAGCTAAATAATTAATCCAAACTCCAAAGGGATTAATTGTGCTTCTCTCTCATCCTTTTCTTCTAAATTTACAATAAGAACTTTTTCTGTAATGATAGAATGAGGTTATTATCCAACCACCTGTTAAAATTAATAATAATCTTGAATGCACATAAAGCAAAAAAAAAGTAAAAATAAAAAAGATATATCTTTTTTTTTCTATTTTGTTTTTAGAATTCAAGGAAATCATAACTTATTGTGCAGGGTATTTTAACACAATAAATATGAACAATTACATTGTATATTTAAATCCACATTTCAGAGTGTTCATAGCATTCAAAATTGACTTAACTTCAAAACAAACTTCATCTGCAGACAGAGGTGGTACCGTATTTAATCTCAGTATCAAATTATGTTTTACCATATCTATTAAACCAACATACCAAATTTGAACTTAATTGGTTAACAATAAAAAAAAGTTATTAGGAAAATACAGAAAATTTGTGGATGGAAGAACGACAGACAGACAGCTAGACAGACAGACGGAGTGATTACTATAGGGCACCCGCAAATCTTTGTGGGGCCCTAATTAATTATAACATACAAATGCAGCTGTGATTTTTGATACAGGTACCTGATGTACGTGTAAATTCATTATACATGTAAGTGTGTTTGCTATAAACATGTTTTACGCATACTGCATACATTTACTTATTTGTAAAGTACTTACATACAAGGGTGCAGATGCTGTATCAACACAACTGCAACTCCATTTGATAATTTGTCTGTGAAACTCATGGCACCATAAACAAATGCTCCCGATTCCTACAATATATAACAAACAAAATGACAATGAACATTAAAAACTCCAAGAAACATTAAACAGATTAAGAAAATGGTAACAAAGAATAACCTTTAAGGTGAAAATTAATTTCAACATGTTCAATCAACTAAATGCATTTTTCTTCAACTTACTTGTACTCATTCAATAATATAGTAAAAATTCAATACAATGTATTCACAGTCAAGCTATTTAAAGGTAAAAAATTCAATACAGAAATGTATTCTGAAATAACAGTCAGGCAGCCTACTTGACTGCAAAGATGAACCTCAACTAGCGCGGCTTATCTCCCTTTGCTTATGACATCAGTAAGACCCACTTGCTACATTCAGTACTAATATTTATATAGCCGATCATGTCTTATGCAGCGTAATTTTTAAGAAATATCAGTTTTGACAAATTTTGCATAAATATATGATTTTCAAACAAGATAGTGTTTGCCTTTTAACATCCTGTTGCATGTTTGCAAGATTTTAGCATGTTTTAGTGTCACCAGCAGTTAGAGAGAGAGAGAGTTGACCCTCTTGAGTAATATATAAATATAGACACTGTTAAATAGCATTTACAGTTGAATAAATTTCTAACACAAAATATGATTTGTTAATTTTCCAATTAAAATTTTTTTAAGCACGATCAGATTATTAGCACTATCAATTATATATACTCGATCGGTAGCACATGCATATATAATTAAAGCTGGATTCGATTGACAGTGGTGTGTGAAGGTGAAACTAAACCTGATAAACATGATACATAAATGATTTCATTTATTTATGGAAAATGAAATGATTCTATCACCTCCTTGTTTTCTCCTGTCTCAATTATTCCTTACTCTTTCTTTGGCTTTCCCTATCTCATTGATTCTTTCCCATCCCGTACTTTTTTTTTTAACAAAGTCGGTACATTTGCACATAACACTGTGCCTTATTTATCGTAATAATTTTAAAAAGTCAGACATTAAACGCAATGCTATTTATGTATTCCTACGTTTCCGTGTGTATTTAAAAAAAATTTTGTATCCATTTAAACAAAAATTATATCTTTAAAAAATATGTTAAACTGTAAAAATATTAATTTTTCTCCTCTCGCAAACAATGGGCATATTTTCTGTCACTTATGCACGCACTGTATCAGTATTTTCAAACTGCGGTTACTCGATCAAACTGTTAAACTGTTATAGAAGTAACAGCACCTTAACATTTACTGTACATGCTTGTATATTCACGTGCATATTAGTAATGCTAGTAAGTTTTGAGCCATGTTTTAAAATCACGTTTCTTGTGACAGCAAAATTACGATGATGTAGTTATAAACCTCCTATTTCTATATATTGTTTTCATTAGTTCTCGGCCCATGTTTCAGATTGCAGATTCATGCATTCAAATACGCCTACTTTTTATAGATCCACGTTTATCATCAACTTCAATATCCCCGTGTTTATTTAGGGAAAAGTGGGATTAGGGTTACATCATGTTTCATATACGTATAAAAAAAAAAACAAACAAGAAGATTGTTGTTTCTAATGTATTAATTCAAAATATGTAATCTTGGTTGGAGGTGAAAAATCTTGATTTCAACAGGGTTTTCATCAGGATCATCTTACTATGGAAAGCTTTCGTTTTCAGTTGCTGTGCCCAATTAACGATCAGTTCAAATAGAGTTAACTGTTCTTTAGAATCAGATAGCTCATCTAAAAACATAATCACATTCATATCCACAAAAAAGACTAAATTTAATTCAATAAATTACAGTAAAATTACACTAGATCTAATGCACTGTTTACATCAATGGGTCTTTGTGAAGTCATACAAACATAAAATCAAGAACGATAAGCGGGTAACAAATTTATCAAGTGGACAAGTTTAGGCCTTCATTTTTCTGTTAAGCCAAAGCAATTTTTTTTTACCAAATGTAATTTAACATTCTCTTATACCAATCTTTATGTTTAAAAAGTAAAATCCTAGTGTTATGAACTGTTTCGTATGAACTTTAAGATGGTTCTACTCTTCCTACAACTCACAACATTGTTGGCGATGAGGTCAGAGGTCATGGCCAGTGAGGTCACCAGCATTGTTGACCCTCCCAAACCCAGGAGGACAACAGCCCCATACACCTGTCTGGCATTGCCCTCATTCAGAAAATAGATCCAGCCACAGGCTCCAACACCAAAAAACAGCCCCAAGACATTAGCCTAATTTTCTTTATATTTTCTATATATGAGGTTTTCCAAAAATGGACAAACGTTTTTGTGAAAATAAATGGTTCTATATAAATTTGTTGTATATCAAAATATTTCTTATGAAAAAACAAGTCAGAAAGATTTAATTATTATTGATGGAACGTAATATTTTTGAAAAAATTGGGGTCTTTAAAGATTGCAAAGCACACTTCTAAGGCTAATCATGACATAAACTCTGGATTTAAAGAGGATTAAAATATTTTAATGTAAAACAAGTAAAAAATTGAAATGAAAATTTTATGTAATGCAAATAAAGAGGCTATAATCATTTTATGATATCTTAAGTATCGCTTACTACATAGACAGTACAAATATTAAAGAAAAGTCCTAACAAATATGTGTCAAAACTCGACAAAAAAAGCGACGTCGGCCGTCCGGGCGTCCGATAAAAAAAAAGTTTTAATACGGTTGAAACGACGTAAGAGACAAACTGTTTGTTAAAACAACTCAAAATTATTGAAATATATTTAGTGTATCGATTTGAGATTGGTATATTCGATTTTCCAACAGTGTGTACAAATTCGAAGACACAACACGAATTTAAAAACACATGTAATTTATTGAAAATGGAGATTTCTATTCGTGACGTTGTTATAAATCTAGCGCAGCGTCGGACTAGGCTATGCAGTTTTTGTATACAAACTTTATTTAGAGGACGCTCATAAATTTTTGTGCATTGTTTTGAATTTTAAAAGGTAAATAAATTATAATCTATAATACTTAAAAATTATTGCTAGCGCTTGGAAGTGCGTTGTGTCTTAAAAAAGAAATGTAGTGTGTGTCCATGAACATGTGTTAAGTCAAAATCCAAATGTTTGACATTATAATGAAATTAGTTTAACGTCAGACTGGTCCTTGTGCACAATCTGCGATCTTTAAAGACCCCGATTTTTCAAAAAATATTATGTTTCATCAATAAAAATTAAATCATTCTGACTTGGTTTTTCATAAGAAATATTTTGATGTACAATAGATCCATATAAAACCATTTTATAATTTTAACAAAAATGTCATTGTCCACTAACTTTTTGGACAGCCCTCGTATTTTATTTTAATAAAAAAAAAAAAAAATTTAGCTTCATTTTCGAACAGTTCCTGCTTTCATTCCTTAATATTTATATTGTGTTCAGTTTAAGTTCATGGTAAGACACAACACTTGCCTTTCTTCCTAGAATGGAATTGATTGGTCTCATGGCAATGGATGCTATGAAACCTGAGACATACACAACTAAAGGACAAATGGCTACTGTGTCCTGCAAGAAAAAGAAAACTCACTGTTACAAGAAGATCAGTTCTTGCATTTTGTAGAAAGAAAGATATTTTTTTAATTGCTTGAATGCAAAGTTGATGGTAATTACTGACCTTCGGAAGTCGAAGAGTTTCAGTGACATATAAAGGGAGATAAATCTGAGACACATTTACAAACAGTCTGGTGCACATGTACACTAAGGCAATCTACAAAACAAAGAAATTAAATAATAATTTAATATTACCATATAAATGGAAATTTTAGGGAGACACAAATTTAGCAAATTGTCCTTTAAAATTTGTATTTTATTTTTAGCAAGATGTAATTTTTTACGATTTTAAAAACCTTTCTAAAGAAACTATTACAAATAAAGCACAATTAATTTTTAGCGATATTCAATTTTAGCAATCTTGGCACCCTCGCTAATAATGCCAAAATTAAATCCTTGCTAAAAATTCTGCTTATACAGTATAAAAAAAGCTATAAAGTACATGTACAGACATCTAAAATTATAAAAATTTAAAAGTTATTAAGTACATGTACAGAGCAGTTCAAGGAATAAATAGCATGTGTAGCAATGTTCAAATTTAAATAGAAGTCCCGAACCCTGGACACTGCATTGTAAAATGGTTTTGGTAAAAAGGTCATATCATCATTGATTAAATTTGCAGGATACTTTTCTTGTAACCAACTGTCCCTTCTTCAACACTTGGAGCACATGAATTATACACTTATCATACTTGTGTACCTGATAAAATTGCATCGTTTTCAACCAACATGACCATGTCATTCGGCTGTGGAGCACAGTGGATTTTTCTATACTGGTGGAATACCCATCAGCATAAGCATTCTCTGCTGCACTTAAATCTTCATGCTGCACTGGCTCACGGACGATGAAATGGAAGGCAATACTGAAGACAAGGCCCATCCCCACAACAATAAATACGAGATTCTGTATAAAATACAAAGAAAGAGGAATTAAAGACAAGGCCCATACCTCATCATAATAACTGATTCTGAGTTTAAAAAATGAAGAGCAATTAAAACAATTTTTAAATAATAAATCTCATGAAAATTAATAGTTTGCTACATTGTACATGAAGTTATTCTGACTTTTTTTATTCCAAGGAAACAGTGGTATTTTTTTGCTGGCAGAAATATCCAACTCCTCCTAAACAGTGATTGTTACCAATAAAATGGAGACAGCTTTTAATGCAAAGTACTCAACATATGGTGGAAACTTATAGTATAATTTATACAAATTTCAATAAATTATTTTTCTTTGTTCTTGAAAATGAGCTGAGTGCGCTCATGTCCATTTTATAGTATGTTGATAAAGCAATATAGGGGATGGACCGATCAAGGGTGGATATAACAAACTATATCTATAGTCATACAAAGGATAGTGTATGTTTTACAGCATAAAAGTCTAGACATACTCTGAATTTGAGAGCGTCCACAGATGATAGTTGTTTTTCTGTGCTGTCACTTTTATCACCATGGACTAAAAATAACAACCAGAAGATTCCAAACACTGCCAGATTGGACAGGACGGTGAAGGCATATCTAAATATAGTAACATATAAAACATCACTTTATTAAATTGATCATCGTACTAACTAACACAAAACAATTACTGCGAGTCTGAAGTGCCTGGAAAAATTTAGTGTCTCGTTCATCCAGACACTCGGCTGTCTCCCTAAATCTTTGACCAGCAGAGTCAGAAATTTACAGAGCCAGTCTAGGTTGAATGAGACTAGGAAAACTTGAGAGCACATTTTATTTTGGACCAATGGAACACTTCAACTTTCTGGAGTGCAAAAATTATAATGGCTGATCCCTCTGTTAATTTTTATTTAGTTTGCAGGTACATTGTATATGTATCTGTTCATACAATTTCTTTTTATGAACATTTTTCACAAAATTTGTTTTTGTGAACTTTAATACAGGTCAAAATACTCCAGAATGTGCTTATTTACACTTCCTCATAAAAATATACATTTCAGAAAGTGATCTTAAGTTTGCGACATTCCCGACAAGGTACGCTTCTCTCCAGGTTGTTTAATTAACTTATCAAAGATACAATATTGCGGTACTATCAGTATCTCTCAAGTTTTTATAGATTTGCTTAAAAGGCCCATTAAAATTTACATTTTTATCACATGCACTGATCATGTGTTATGCCATATAGACATTTCATCCTACAGGTGATTTATCCCTCCAATGTGTTGAATAACTTGGAGTTATCTCTACAAAGGGATAGGCTGGCCTCCTCTCAGATTATGTTTATATATATGTATATATATATAACAACAATAATAAACTTCTATCTTTTACAAAACTGATTTGCAAGTGGTCTATCATTATAGTTCCCTACCGGTGAAACCGGAGGGGACTATAGGTTTCCTTTGAGTCTGTCATTCCGTCTGTCTGTCCGTCTGTCTGTCTGTCAGTCTATCCCTGGTATTCCCACTTGGTATTCCGCAATTTTTCTCTAAACCATGTAAACCCTTGCAGATATTGAGCTGATTTTTGGTATGTGAGTGTATCTTGATAAGTTACAGATCAGTTTTGAATTTTGTTCCTCTTCATTGATTTTTTTAAACTGAATTATGGCATTTTTAATTTTTCATAATTGGGATTACGATCAGGTTTGTTAAACACTAAAGTGAACTTCCAAATGAGCTTGTATCCTAAAGAGAAAAGGAGAACCCGGTAGGGGACATGTATTGCCTATGCAATACTCTCAGAATGCTTGTTTAATGTAAACTTACCTAATTCCATTCAGTTCTACGCGTTCATTTTCATCCTGCGTGAGGTCTGGTATAAGAGACAGGTGTGATATCTGAGTGGAAGCCCAGCCAAACTGGAAGATGACCACAAACGGGGCAAAATAAATGAACTTAGACCAGTCCGGAGCATTGGAACAAGTAATACAGTCATTGAAGACAAATGGATAACTGCATGCTACACAGATTGTACCTATGAAACAAAATAATTATTACATTGAACTACACAATAGTTTTACAGTCAGATTTAAAGTTATTGAGTATAGGTCTGTCCTAACTTGATCATCTTTTTATATAATGTTTAAATTTGAAATTTAAATGAAATATGTGAATATTTATGTAGTGTTAGGCTTGCACTTTTTAATACTGTTGAAGTACTTTTTTCCGCGAGGTATTAATTTACGCTATGTACGCGGTCACAAATATTCCGCGGAAATTTGTCCAAGCGTACTTAATATAAATGTAAGGCATATAGTGACAATCTAGAAAATCTGCGTAATTTTCTTTCTGCGGATTAAACAGAAATTGAGATTCCACGGAATTATGACCCCTTGGAAAAAAGTACGTCTACAGTACATTAAAATAAATTTTGGTCTATTTCTTTAAAATAATTGAAAATCTGAAAAATGTGTGACATCATAAAAGCAAAAATTGCTCTATATAGGATGTTTTGTGTTTCTTGTTAGTTTTATTGAAATTGGTTCAGTGGTTTTTGACAAGAAATTGTTATTAATTAAGTGGAAATAGTGAAGTAGAAAATGCTTGAGCCTTTTGGTAATTAAGTTAGCTAACACAAGTATCAGAACTCTTGCAATATATTAATTTCATTTGCTATTTCTTACAGGCAGATTGTGTAGATAATCAAAAAAACGGAACAAAATAACTTTAAAAGTACACTTCTTATGGTACTTCTTGAAAATTTTATTTAAATATGTGTAACATAAGTGAACTTCCACTTACCAACAAGATGCCATGATTTTCTCTTTCCCAACCGACAAAAGCCTCTTGTGTTGTCAGATTCATAGCCAATAAAGGGTGTGAATAAAGCATCACTCACTTGTCCAATCAACATCAGGTATCCAGCTAAATTATTATTGAAGTTCATCACTTGATGAAAGTAAACAATGAGGTAGCTGAACCATACTGAGGCTGTGAGGTCGTTGAGAACGTGTCCCACACTGTAGCCCAGTCTCTGGTTTAATGGTAAACCCATTCTGTCAATGGTTTCACAGGAACGTCCTGCTTGTCTTCAATTTAACACTGAGAAAGTTTAAAGATTATGTGGTTATTCCAGGAAGTTTTCTGTCTTCATCCAAGTTAACAAAACAAATAACTGCTTAGGTGATGTGTTCACACTTCCATTCCATTTTTAGATATCAACTGCAAATAATTTCAAACTCTTGTTTTAATTCTTCTCACTTATACAAGTTAATTAAAAGTCCATTGTCATGAAAAAACGATTGGCCACTGGGGTAATTTTATATTTGTATTCTTGTTTACAAGTTTACTATTGTACTTGTCAGCAATAGCTTGTCTGTATGATTATAACTGTTCTCTGATATTTTATGTTATATAACCCATGGTCTTACAGCAACGTTTATCATGAAAATAAAGGTTACTCGAACTCGTTTAACAAACGACACAATTTATTGTATAAGCAGTATCAAAATTTACACAGTTAATGATAAATTCAATTAATGATTGGATTGATCCTATGTCACAGTGAAAGCACGTTTGAAAAGATATGTATTTTTAATTAAGCAATTTGCTATCAAAGACCTCCAATTAACACTTTGAAAAATAGTTGAATATTTGAACAATAATATAAGTATTAGATACCTAAGATATCATTTACTTTAGATTTTAAGCATATTAGACATGATAAAAAGGAGGCACCCATTCTCTATCCACCTTGAATAAAGGTCTCTCCCGAGACAGAAGATTTGTGTTTTAATGGTCGTCATGCTTATTTTTGGAAAGGATATTCTTATCCACCCATTCTGTTGCCGAGATATGACCATTTCTGACAAATAAACTGTTCTTGTCATAAAAATTAACTCACAGGGAAAGAAATATAAAACTCAGAAAAATCTTTCAACTTTTGTGACAGAACGCTACGGAGGGGGTCACGTGACCGCCAATATCACGTGATTCACACAAGCACAGAACGGTGGTTGATGTGCATTAAAATCGGGGAGGATTAATTTAAAATATAATCAACATTAAAACCAAATATTGTTTCTTTTATGGAAGTTATTCAATTAGTTCGCGAACTTTTTGATCACCCCTCGTAACCCATGCTCTTACAGCAACGTTTATCATGAAAATAAAGGTTACTCACAAGCATATAAAATTTACTAATGCCCTATTCACATGGAGAGTTTAATTCGAATTAAATGTAAATTTACTGCCAATTAGCTTTGCTTAGCATTCACACGAAGAATGTAATGTGAATTAGTTTAATTCGAATTAGTTTACTGCACATTAAATTGTCTTTGCGTTAGCTCCATGTGAACCCTAAGCGAAGCTAATAAGGCCAAAAAAAATATTAAATTACCAGCCAGAAAAAAATAGGGTTAGGTAGGAAAATTATTTTATTTTTTAATTTTATTTTTTCCAATGGTATTTTTTGGATATGAACTACTATAAAACAAATTAAACATGTCATAGCTAGGTAGATATCATCTTTTAAAATGAAATTCCATGTCTTTTATGCAAATTTTATGTAAGTTCATATTCTATAAATATATTTCATGTAATACAACTTGAGTATAATTTTTTTTTCACTTTTGAAACATGAAATTCCTAAAATTTTGAATTTTTTCCCCAAAAGCCAAAAAAAACTTTAGGGTCGGGTGCAAAAAAATAGGGTAGGTCGGGTAGCAGGAAACAAGACTATTTTTTATTTTGGCCTAAGAATTAAATTTTGAGGCATGCGTAATGGCAAAATTAAGTCAAATGCCACATGTCCGTGGTCAGCTTGAAGTATTTGTACTATTTTTGAGTGAAAAACTAATTAAGGAAAATTGTGTTAATCACTAAACTGTGTATACAGACACTGTAACATTATGTCAAATGCATCTGCTCCTGCATAAGGTGACGTGATTTGCAAATGACATCATAAAAGCCTTACTGACGCCAGGCCGTAGAAGTAGAATTTTAATTCGCATTAGCTGTGTGAACGCAATTTAATTCGCATTACTTTGATTCGCATTAGTTTACTTCGCATAACTTAATTACTGTGAATTAAACTCGTCGTGTGAACAGGGCATAATATTACTAAAAAGCATGACTCGGCATAATAACTTTCATGTATATATGATGTCTGTTAACAGTGTTAACATATTTTAATGCAGCAATAGAAAACAATACAAGTTTTATAATATATTCATTATTCTGATAACAGTAATTTTATAAATATTAATTATATACTAGCTGTACCTGTCAATCCTCTGCGAGTGAAAATCACGACATGGTGCGTTCACATGACAATCTCAATAACAGTTGTTCTATCAATCCGCCACACAACTTCATTTTGTAAGTCATGTGCTTTTTGTGAAATGATAAACAATCCATGTGACATGACACGTGCTTCCTCACAGTCATAGTCACACAAACGCTTCTAACAGCTGTCTAATCGGTTCTTGGCATATAAACACAGAGAGTTAACTAGAGAGACTTATAACAGGTAAATAGCTCTCGCTGTAAATGGTGAATTGAACTGAATCTTCAGTTTGGCAATAGTTTTATATGGAATATTCTCTCAAAGAAATAAATAAGTTACACTTCTATTTTTCGGGTGTTTTCCCTTGAAAACTTTACGTAATCCCGATCCCGATTGAATTTCAAATATTGTTTATTTTATAGGGCTAGGTATTGGCCCGAGATTTCGTATTGCGATATATTGCGATATTTTAAATTGTATTGCAATATGTATTGCAATATTTTCAAGGTAATAAAAATGGCATTTTCGTACTATATTTACTTAAATTTACATGCAGAATGTACATAACTAAGATAGGTAACCAACAAGGGAAAAAAATCTTGTTGATTTCATCTAAGTTATGCTCTGAAATGTTCACACAAAACAACTTCAGTCTTACTGTTTGGCTTAATGACAAACTTTCATAAGTTCATTTTTATTTTTAATGACAAAATTCCTTATTCTAAGCATATTGCCAATATATCGATATTACAAAATCGTATTGCAATACGATATTTTTTGTCATTGTATTGCAATATATTGAAATATCGATATTATTGCCCAGCCCTATTATTTTATTCATATAAGTTATGAAAAGTTCCACTTAGAAAATGAATATTTTGTCAATGAAACGCATAAATTGTATGCAAAGATTTTTATTGCAATTCCATCGATTTTTTAAATGTATCTCCTAAATTGAATATTTTTTAATCAACGAATAATTAAAAAATATAAAAAGTTTCATGTATATACTTCTCTAGGATTCTCTCTATATACCGTATCACTGACCAGTTGATTTGAAGTGAATATTTTCTGAAATTTTCAGTATAATTTCACGACTTATATGTTGCTATAGCATTTCACACGAAAATCAAATTAAAAACGTATTTTGTATGAAAATTATTGAAACTACGAATTTCGGGAGGCGTTTATTTAACACATCCTTGCACTTTCACAATTTTTAAATTTATTCTTAATACTTGTACAAAAAAAGAAAAGTAGCAATTTTGTTGTGTAAATAATGAATAATATTACATCTATAAATCAGAAAAATTGGGAGTTAAAATGTGCGAAAGCAATTTAAACCCACTCACTTAAGTATTGTCCGCCTGTGGTGTGTAGTTGTGTACAGAGTTGAACAAATCATAAATACATCCGTGAAACGTAAACTGTTTAAACGTTTCACCGGATGTGTTCTAAAGTAAGAAGGATTTAGTGCACTGATATTCGGTTTATTGCATATTTTTGCCCCCACGAAACAATTTTGACGAGCAAAAAATTCATATGGAATGGGAGTTGTTTGAAAATTTCGTTACCGTTTTACACTGATCCGTCGTTATGGTCCTCACACTGGTCCAATGTTATTTATTCGTTATTTTACAAAGAAATTATAACTCTGGGAATCCTATAGGAGAGATACAATCCCCGAGTATCCTCTAGATCTGTGCATATTTTATAAATGGTTTCAAACTTTTCTGTAAAATTTCTGTTGGCGTATTTGTATTCTAATAGGAAAATGATGCACCTACATAAATATTTTAAGTTTTTAAAATTTACAGAAAGAATTAAAATGATGACGTCTCGCAAGAAACTGTTAGTATATATTCTGAAAACTGATATTTTCTTTCGGAGTCAGGTATTTTTAATTTTGTCATGCATTTTCACTAAAAATTAATATGAATAAGAAGAGAAAACGTAATTTATAATTGATTTGTTTTTTGGGTTTTTTTTTTAAGAAAAAAAAACTTTCGAAGAAATTAGTCCAGATTCAGTATTCCCCTTTGCCCATTCTCTCGTCATCGTCACATTTAACAGAAGTGTGGATAAAATCTCTTTCTTAGCGAATTTAGCAGTTTTCTTCCATCCATCAACTGTCAATCACGTCATTCATTCGCTGGATAAGCAGTTTTTGACCTTTGTAGTTTACATGTTATAAAGTATATTTTCTTGATTTCTTGCTTAATAAATATGACAAATGAAGCACACTGCACTGCAGTGTAATAATACCGAAATGCATTTGTCCTTTTGGTCTGTAAATGCATCTTGGCGAAGATTTACGTTTCTCGGTCAGATAACGAAGTGACTATCCACACAATCATGGCAATTCTTCCTTTGGAGTAATGCAGAATTCATGTAAAATTACGATAAAGTTAATAATAAATGAATAAATTTATTTTAAAAAAATATGTATACCTGCTGATCGGTGCGTAAAATTCTGATCTAAAAATTATCAAACTGCTTCTTATAAAGATACTATTTTTTTTAATTTTTTTTTTTGGATCGAAAGATGTGCTCATATTTTAGATTTGCTTTCTTTGATATTTTATTTTATGTATGTTAATTGTTGTATTCATGACTATATGCCAATGTATGATGGTGTTGTCAATGAATGAATTGAATTGAATTTAAGCATAAGCAAGGAACTCGAATACATGCGTGTGGTCTGCAGGAATCATTTGTACGAAACATTTATGGTTTAAATGTCCATGATTTGGTTGGCTGAACATAGCTGGTCAGAGTTTACAAACACGTCCATAGGTTTTTTTTTTCAATTAGTTTGAAAGTGTGAGATTGTAACATTTTTGTCCGTTTTTCCTAGGGGGTACTATGTACATTATATAGAATAGAAGATTAGAATTGATTTCGCTCGAGAACCAAACTGAACCAAAATTAATTATACCCCCCGCTTGAAAAGTGAGGGTGTATAGTAATCGGGATTTCCGTCCGTCCGTCCGTCTGTCCGTCCGTCTGTTACGCTTTATCTCTTATCCGCAACTCCTCTTATACTACTAAGTGAAATTTAATGAAACTTTCAAAGAATCTTTATTACATATTGCCATTGTGCACCTCCTATTTTACTTTTTTTATTCCACACGTATTTTAGGTTTTCCATAGCAAAAACATGGACATTGCCATTATATCTTTACCTATGACGTCATATGTATAGAAGCTTCTGGATAACATTTGATAGGACGAGTTATTCCTCTTTACACATTACCGTAAAACAATATATAGCAACACATGGACATTATCAATCTAATTAAAATTAGATCTTTGATCCGCTCCAGTTTGATCGCTACACTGTAGCGATCAAACTGGAGCGGATCAAAGATCTAATTTTAATTAGATTGGGACATTATGGGAGGCGGGGGGTATCATTTAGTGAGCTCATTGCTCACAGTACCTCTAGTTTAATTCAAAATTTCAATATATCCGTACATAAAACGAAACTGACAAAATAAATGGTTGGTTGCATGAAAAAAAATTAACGCCCCATGCCAGGCTCGAACCAAAAACTTTTCGAATCCAGTGCACTGATCAGGTAGCCCATCTTACTGAGCTACCACCACCACACATACACAGATGATTTTTAAAGGACAAAGAAGCACCACATTCACACATTTGGATTTTTTGTTGAAAAGTTCGTTTTTCGTGGTCTCTGGGTCTTCTCTCCATTTTTTAAAAAAGTGTATTCGTTTCTTCGAATTTAAATACACACAAATAACGTTTCAAAATCATGGAGAGAAGACCCAGAGATAGAAAATTTTTAGAAAAATGTGTTTAAAAATGTAACATTTTGTACCAAATGTCTGATCTGACCAATTTTCAAGTTATTTTTTAGGAAATCAAAGCTCAATTTCGGGAAAATATTTTCCTTTCCTGTTGCACAGGAACCCGATAAATAAAAAAAATTTAAAATTTCTTGTGACATGTCAATAAAATTTTCACTTTTCAATTACGCCCAGATTCCTGCATGCCGAATGCCAATCAAAAGCGCCCTCTTTCTTTTACGAATATTACAATTTTACAAATCCTACTTTGTCTCTATACTTAGTAATTGGCCAGAGTACGACAGTCAACTGGTTTAATGACATCCATGGCCATTTAAAGAGACCCTAGTTCTTTGTAACATTGTATGACGATTGCAGGCACGTAGCATCGAGGAGATGGGACTGGTCTGGACTTTTTTTTCAGACATAACTTTTTTACTTTAGAAACTGATCATTGAAAGTCTGGTTGCCCCCCCCCCCCTTCCCCTTTTATGTTGAGTATAGTGAAAGAAGAGAAATGTAGAATGCATATCTGATCGAATAAAACAATTTTGCTACTGAAAGATATTGGAACCTAACGTGTACCAATCTCCACCCAATTTTCCCCCTCCACCAGCTTTGTGTCACTGGTGGATTAAGAGGGGGGCTTGCCCCAACCCCTCCCACCTTTATGTCCAAAATATACAGAAGATTTTAAAAATCAGTTTTTTGTGCGTGTGTGTGGCTGTGGGCCACTACCCTGACCCCAAACTGGTCGAGCCCCCCTTTTCAAAATTCCTCGATCCGCCACTGTGTGTAGCAAAGCCGAGCACTTTAACCAAAACCCAGAACACGTGCTCAGATAATGTCAGAGTCACATAAACGCTTCAATTTTGAATGCTTACAAGAATATTTTACGAATTTCTTGTATATCATTCTGCGTTGTATTGTGTAGATTCTTCTATTGTTTTATAAGTGTAGGGAGTTTTATACTCATAGGATATGTCATGAACCTATTGGATTAAGCAATCTTATAGGTGATGCGACGTGCGACTACACAGTTCCTGTTTGTTTTGGTCAAATGTCTTAAAATAGATTTTGACTAACCTGTGCCATGTTGGCACATTTTTAATATATATATGAATGTGTATTGAATTACTCTCAGTTTGAAATCTAATATTAAGAAGAGCGTGACTTTTTAATTTGTATTCTAAAGCATAATCATATATGGGTAAGTTAAAACTACTCTTCTACGATTTTTTTGGGATGCCTTATCATATGTACTAATTAAGTTTATGCATATATACCTGAGATAAACTTCCGAAAGATGTCGACTTTGTCGTTATATTAATGATAAATAAATGTTTTTTTATTTGTTAGTACCTGTTTGTTTTTAGCTAGCCTGTACCAAATGCTCACGCACGTGAGCTGGTATATATAGCTGCAGAATTGCCCCCCCCCCCCCACACACACACACACACACACATAAATAGGTATAGTCCATCAGTATTTTTTTTAAAACAACACACAGATTTACATTTTGTAAAGATTGTCAATCATCACTTGCGTGCAATATATTTTTTTCTTCTAACTTCTAATTTCTGCCACTGGGCCAATCTCAATCACTTAGTTGCCTAAAACATGCTTTGGTGAAGGAGAGGTTTTTTTTTTTCAAATCAAGAGCATTAGACCAGAAAAGAATTAGAAGTCTAAGTGAAAAAAAATGTTTGAATTTTCTTCTCAAAACCCACAATCGGCCAGAAAAATTAAAAATCAAATCAATGTCGACACCCCCACCCCCTTGAGAGTGGTAGATGCACACATTGGAGATAACGTTAAGCCCGTTTTATAAAAATGAACGTTGACTCAAGTTTTTTTTTTAAAGCCTGACCCCCAAAGAATTTATGAGAAGAAATCTTTTTTTAAAAAATGTTAAAAGAACGGTAAAGCTATGATTTGTTATATTTATATGGAATCATCCTTAGGTCAGTAATGTTGATAATGTTGATTTCAAATAATAGCCCTCAGGGTGAAGAACAAAAGGCCGTAGTTACTTAGGTGAGCGTTATATAACCCATTGGCAAACTGCTCTACTACCTACACTAAATGAAGTCGTAAAGACAATTCATCATGTATAATTTACTTACGTACTAGTATGACATGTGATGCGTTAGAACAAATGAAATCTTATAGAGATATGAAATTCCACTGACCATAAGTTTTCATCTTACAGGAAATAAAATGACCAGTAAAAAGGATAAAACGACAGCTGTAGTGATCGGCGCCGGCCAGAGAGGGTTTGGTTATGCCCACTTTCAACAATGCAAACCTAAGGAATTCAAGGTAAATAGACATCAAGTTTACTTATTTCTAAAATTTATTCAGTTAATTTGCAATAAATAAGATTTATTGCCTCCATGTTTTTAATTTAGCCAAAAAAAAAATAAAAAAAAAATCCAATCCAAATAAATTTCAAATTAATATGGATAAGAAACTTAAGTGAGTCTTGATCACCTGATCAGTAGGTGTGGAGTATAAAGTTTATGACGGAAGTGTATATAGTGCGCATCCAAGTGCAGCAAGAGGAGGTCAATGTTACAATTTTTGTTGTACCTTGCCCGCAGATTCTTGTATTATTATAAAAGTACACGTATATGCCATGACCCTTTTTTGTACAGGGTCAAGGTTACTTTTGTTTTTTAATAAAACAACTTAGCATCACTTAGGACACTGTTTGCTTCACATATATGGCGTCTTGTTTCAAACATGAATTGAAAAAAATACTTGTACAGCTTCCGATGGGTTCTAAATTTTTCAGAGAAGATATTAACGTTATATATCTATGTTTTGTTATGTAAATATTGCATGTAGTCGAGTGTAACATTGAAAATTTTCACCCCTCGAAAACCATTGTCAACAGAGGCGGCTGCGCCTCGGTTGACAATGGTTTTCGAGGGGTGAAAATTTTCAATGTTACACTCAACTACATGCAATATTTATTATATCATACTGAATGTTTTATACAAATACATATAACTGTGAACCGTGCGCGCATAAATTCTGCGCAGTCGGTATTTTTTGGAATACCACCCGTCGTCAAGTAATGTTGACTGTTTCTACGCAGGAGGGCGTGGCTTCATTATTCAGCGGGTAACAGTGTTTTTTAACAAATGTTTCTCGACGAATCAGATTCAAGTAATTTACATGAAAGTATAATACAATAAACTTTTTGTTCAGGTCATTGCTTGTGCAGATCCAAAAGAATACCAGCGTAGAAGACTGCAGAATTTATGTGACATCCCGGACGACATGATTTTTCAAGGTATCAGGTCAAGATAAAAGCAATCGGTCAACATCACGTGTACAGTGTTGATCAATTCTTATAGTTATACCTTTAATTACGTTTCTAATGAGGAAGGATATAATTTTAATATCAATAAAAAGAAACCATGGGGAAATTTTAAGGTAATGAATATTAAATTGAGTTGGCAAACAACACCCAGTAAAGTATCAGTCACATTATCCAGCGATGGGGTATGCGATGAGAAACAGATGTGGTTTTTTTTTTTGGATAAAAATGGCGTGGTTGCTGCTCGGACACCAGTAGTAATCAGACGGTGACTGAGGCCATTTGGTGAATCGGTGGATTTATCAGTAGAAAATAAATTGTAGTTAAAAATCAGCGATGTCTCCAACGATGCCCCACATCGTTCCTCATCGGCAACCAATCATTAACACATCACATCTTTTAAGGATTGGCCGATGTATGGCCGAGCATCGTCAAGTGTCTGTTGAATCTGAGGTCATCGGGGGGTTGAGTGGTGGGCAACAGACCTCGGCCGATCGTCGGTCGATGTTCGACCAAACATTGGCCAATAGTCGACTGACGTACAAACGATTTTCACCAATATATGAGAGATGTACACGTAATATACATTGGCCAATTACCCTTGAATATCGTTTTATGATTAGCCATGCATCACTGGGCCTTTGTAAGTCCGGCCGACAACCACACCATTTTTATCAAAAAACGCATTGGTTGCCCATCATATACCCTATCGCTGGATAACGACTGACAATTTAATGCCTTAGTCACATTTCATGGCCGGTGGCCGTAGACCAGTGGTAAACAATGGTAATCCGTGGTGTGAGCGATGCCCCAACATCGGTCCACATCGGCCTAGTAGTCCTGAAAGTATCAGTCACATTATCCAGCGATGGGGTAAACGATGGGCAACCAATGCATTTTTTGATTAGAAATGGCGTGATTGCCGGCCGGACTTACAAAGGCCCAGCGATGCATTGCTAATATTAAAAAGGTTAATTGGCCGATATATATTACATTGTTCATACATTGGTGAACATCGTTCCTACGTCGGTCGACTATGGGCCAATGTTTGGTCGAACATCGACCGATGATCAGCCGATGTTTGTTGCCCACCACTCAATCCCCCGATGACCTCAGATTCAACGGACACTTGACGATCGGCCAATCCTTAAAAGATGTGTTAATGATTGGTTGCCGATGAGGAGCGATGTTGGGCATCGGTGGAGATATCGCTGATTTTTAACTACAATTTATTTTCTACTGATGACCCCACCGATTCGCCAAATGGCCTCAGTCACCATCCGATTACTCTAGGTGTCCGGCCGGCAACCACGCCATTTTTATCAAAAAAGACATCGGTTCTCATCGTATACCCCACTGCTGTACAAAATGAATGATACTTTAGGAATACTAGGTCGATGTGGACCGATGTTGGGGCATCGCTCACATCGCGGATTACCACCGATTACCACCAGTCTACGACCACTGGCCGGGAAATGTGACAAAGGCATAAAAGTGTTAAATCATGTATCATGATTATGTTTAAAGTGTAATACTAAGTGTATACCCTTAATAGGCAGCACGTTAAAATGTAGTATGGAATGAAATACATGTGTATATGGAGATAACGAATAATATTCAAGCTCAAAAAGTCATTAAAAGTACAAATTTAAGCAGAGCAAAAACCTCCTAAACATCTGCAGGGATCAGGTGCCATGGAGGAGTGAGCATACCCTGCTGACCGGTTACACCCGCCGTGTGCTCCTTGTCATGATTGGAAAATAACGGAATAATCCGTCGAAAATTCAGTCAGCATTTGACTCAATGATAAATTGTATTTGCTGACAACTTGAAGGTCCTTGTATCGATCAGAAAACATAGGAAATGATGACTTTAAGCAAAACTGCTGATACTCTTGTTTCATCAACTTGTATTTCAATAATTTACCTCGTTTTAGAAATTGTACATTCGTAGAGCATGTTCTTGCATACCGAATCAACTGATATATAAACTTCGTATGCAGATGATGAAGGTATATTGCTGCTGCTGCATGCATAAGTAAGGAAGATGACGATGAAAAGTTAATTTAAAGTCATCATGTTTGTCACAGAGCTTGGGTGTCACATTACCATTAATGTCTTTTTTAGGTAAAATATCTAAATATGAAATAGAAGTTTCATATAAATAAAACAAAAATAAGCTTACTTTTTTTTTTACCGTTATTGGATTCAAACTATACTTGTGCATTCAAAGAAGATCTTATTTTCATCTATTACTACGATGTATATGTAGTAGGCCATATGTATATTATATGTTTTTTATTTTGGCTATTTTTTAAATTGTTGTATTAGGAGAAGACTATCCAAGTTTCTGAACTTGTCTGATCCTTTTGACTCTTTGTCAATGAAATATTTTCAATTCAATTCAATTGCCAATGCGTTGTCGATACATCTAAATGTCGAGTTAAAGGCCACAGGAGTGTTTTCTTCTTTTCATATATAAGCTTTTGGACAATTTCTGTCTTATATACGAGGGGGGATCAAAAAGTTCGCGAACTAACTGAATAATTTCCTTAAAACAAATAAAATTAGGTTTTGGTGTTCATTTTTTTTTAAAGTAGACCTCTCTGATTTTAATGTATATCTGCCACCGTTCTACCCATGCGCGATCCACGTGATCCAGGCAGTCACGTGACATGCTCTGAAGCATTCTGTTCATAGACGCTAAAATATTTCCCCGAGTCTTTCAAAAATTTCTTACCATACAAGTTAATTTTTATAACAAGAACAGTCTATTTGTCAGAAATGACCAAATCTCGGAAGTAGGATGGTTGGATAAGGATATACTTTCCCAGAAATAACATGGTGACCATCACAAACTGTGTCCACTGTCTTAGGAACGTGACTTTTATCCAATATGGATATATAATATGAGGGCCTTCTTTTTATCATATTTAATATGTTAAAAGTCTAAATTAAACGATATTCTAGGGATTAGATAATCATATCATTGTTAAGATATTCCATCATTTTTCTAGCTGTAACTTTGCAATCTTTCATAACAATTGCCTAACAAAGAACACATCACTTCCCCCAGCTTGCTTTCGCTTGGCTACAAAACACAAGTCATTTTTAACCGTCTCCCTCCCTTCACTAAAACAATCAATCCAATTTATGACTGAACGTCTGGAAAGTCCATTGTCTTCATAAACTTTGTAGAAAATATTCTTAGACATTTCAAAGGAATTTCCAAGTTATATGTCGAATTTTACAGCCGTTCGTTTCTCGAGTAAGACTGTGACAACCATTTTTCGTCATGAGTCACCTACATATTGACGTCATTTTCACATTGTGACGTCACAATGATGAAGAAAATCATTACTTATCATATGCTATTTATAGAACATGTGCATGCCTCTATTTGTGCCAAACTTCATTCTGATCTGAATCTTGGTTCTGTAAATATAGAGATAGTTCGCGAACTTTTTGATCACCCCTCGTATGAATACAAACACACGTCCGCTAATAACGGGGTGCAATCCAATTGATTGTTGGACTACCTTGTCTCCAAAAGACACATAGATATTGTCAACCAGAATCTTAAGCTTCTTTTTAATTAATATTAACTTCAGAGTGCAGTACTTGTGTGTACAATCAGAATATTTTTTAACAAAATATTTTTGCAAATAACCAATGACAAGGAAAGTAAATTTACGAGTGTGCTGTACATGTATCTATATCGTAACGCAAATAATGCCTAGGTCACCTTTCCCGGTCGTTGGCCGTAGACCGGTGGTAATCGGTGGTGATTCGTGGTGTGAGCGATGCCTCAACATCAGTCCACATTGGCTTAGTAGTCCGTAAAGTATAAGTCACATTATCCAGCGATAGGATACGATGGGCAACCAATGCGTTTTTTGATAAAAATGATGTGGTTGTCGGCTGGACGTACAAAGGCCCAGTGATGCATTGCTAACCATAAAACGATATTCCGGGGTAATCGGCCGATTGTATATTACATCTTTCATACATTGGTGAACATTGTTCGTACGTCGGTCAACTACTGGCCAATGTTTGGTCGAACATCGACTAATGATCGGTCGACGTCTGTTGCCTACCACTCAACCCCCAGATTACCTCAGATCCAATTGACACTCGATGCTCGGCCATACATCGGCCAATCCTTGAAAGATGTGTTAATGATGGGTTGCCGATGAGGGGTGATGTGGTGCATCGATGGAGACATCGCTGATTTTAACTTCAACTTATTTTCTATCGATGACCCCACCGATTCGCCAAATGGCCTCAGTCATCGTCCGATTACTATAGGTGTCCGCCATTTTTATATAAAAAAAAACGAATCGGTTTCTTATCGTATACCCCATCGCTGGATAATGTGACTGATACTTAAAGGGCTAAGATGCAGATCTGAAGTTAATATTTTCTCAATTTTTTTTGGTATAATATCATGACATATGTTGCTATGTGGTGTTTCACACGGAAATATGATTTATAACTTATTTAAAGTGGAAATTATTGAAATTACGAAGTTCGAGACGTGTTTGATTGACGCATTCTTGTACTTTTACAGAGTAAATATATAATACCAAAGAAAAGTAGAAATTTTGTTGTGTATTAATGAAAAAAAAGTTAAAACTAAAATTCAGAAAATTCAAAGTAGAAGTGTGAGAGAGCAAAACCAATTCACTATTATTGTCAGTCCGTGCTCAGTTATCCAAACATGTACTCTTATGAAATTAATAGGGATGTCAAAATATTAATTTTCCTTAGTCGAACATTCGATTACATTATTCGAACGATAGTCGACTATTCGGAGCATTTTTTGGATAGCACGGTGTTTTTGAAAGCTTATTAATTAAAATAAATTGGAAAATTGAAATAGTTTGAGAAAGGGGAATTGTAATCACACACTATTCATACCTCAGGTAATATTGTTAAATACTGTTTGTTTAATTAATGATTGCCCATGCTATCAAAATGTCTTTTATATAGGATTATTCTTGTAATAATTATCGAAAGTTAAAAACTTCACGGCATTGCAAATATTGTGTGTTTCTAGCATTTGAAATTCCTAGAGGTTAAAAAATATAATTGGTACAAGTCAATTAAATAATTTTCATAGTCCAGTATAGCGTTACATTATTTATCACAAGAAAAAAGTCAGTAACTGAGAAACAATTATCGCGGTATGTAATCACTGTACTTTCCATATGTACGATATGGAAAATTATTTATATACTGTGACTGTGCTATACTACTACGAATACTATATAGTTTGAAGAAGGACGCTTTTTCAATTTAGAGATGAGAATTTCATTATCACCCCCTTATCTTGCATTTATTTAATATTCGAATGTCGTTTCATTATTCGATCGTCGGTCCATTCGACTGATAGTCGAATAGTCGACTATTCGTTGACATCCCTAGAAATTAATGAATTTCAATGTTGCTACTTTTTTGTTCAAATGAATGTTGCACAGCATCAGAATCTTTTTCAAGACCTTCACATTATATACCTGCAGTAAAGTGTTAACATAGAAATATCATCAGTTAACTCTCGTTTTTTACACTGAAATAAACATACTGAATGACAAAGTTTATATATATAATATTATAATAGACTGGCGGGAGATAGCTGGGAAAGATAAGTTTGCGGATTGTGTGATCATTTGTACCCAGGATCAGCAACACAAGGTACACAGCAACATCAGCAACAATTTAAATATTAATTCTCCAGTATAGTTAAATTGGGTACTGTCATTTAAGTTTGAAATTGAAATTTAATCCCTTATATCTTACAAATTATTTCAATTGACTGTAAAATTCTCTTTTTAGGACCCGGCTATTGCCTTTGCAAAGAAGGGATACCATATTTTACTGGAAAAACCCATGGCAGTAAGTCATGATTTTACGTACTATTTGATCTTATTATATGCTAAAAATAAATTTCTCATGTAGAACTTACATGTTGGTCGATAAAAAATCCGAAAAGGAAATTGATGTTAGTTTATGGATATCAGGCCTGGAGGCCATAAAACTTAGACGAGCTCACTTTTGATCTCATTCTCACTTTTTCCAAAGAAATTAATAGTGGAAAAGTGAGACTGAGATCAAAAATGAGCTCGTCTAAGTTTTATGGCCCACAGGCCTGAAGATGTGTGTTAAAGTACATTTAGCTATAAAGGATACTGTAGATGTGATATATTTTGTCGATATGTAAGGATATATGTTTTTGAATCCAGACCACAGAAGAAGACTGTAGGGAGATTGTTCGTGTCTGTAACGAAAACAACGTTTTCTTAACGGTGTGTCATGTCCTCCGTTACACTCCCTGGGTGAAAAAAATCAAAGAACTGATAGATGGAGGAGCCATAGGGGACGTTGTGAATATTCAACACCTGGAACCAGTATGTATCATGACTTAAGGATGATGTCAAATTACCTTTAATGATTTAAAATCAATAAATTACATGTATGTAAAACAGTATACAATGTACCAGTAGGTTTATGCACATAGAATACATCTTACACATATTAGCTTGAAAGGTAGGCTGGTTAATTAACAAGTGACAAAACAAAGAAGCTTTTTTTTAACTCTTAAATTATTCTTGACGAAAGAAAATGCTACACTCTTGAGCTGTAATATTTTGTTTATATCTTACATTATTTATCTTTAAAACACAGATCGTAATTGTTTTGCTATAATATTTTCTACATCTGAAAGTAAGGAGTGCAGTACACATCTGTGGGAAGGATAGCAGCTCACAGTTTGCAAGATTTTTTTGCGATACATTTAAGAACAGAGGGAATGTTGAAATAATGACGCATATAAAAGACCAGTAGTTCTTATGGAGAGTTTATATAAGAAAACAAACAAACAACAAACAAAAAAATCGAAACAACATTGCATTAGACTAGATAAGGTTCAAATTCTTAATTTCAGGTTGGTTATTGGCATTTTGCCCATTCTTTTGTCAGAGGCAACTGGCATAAAGAGTCAGAAAGTTCATTTTCTCTCATGGCAAAGTGCTGTCATGACCTTGATCTAATATGTCACTGGATGGGCCCGAGGAAGTGCCATTCTGTCGCCTCTTTTGGTCATTTAAGTCATTTCTCTCAGGAAAATAAAGTAAGTTTACACTGTGGTTTTTTGTTACAGGTAGGGTACTGGCATTTTGCCCATTCGTATGTGAGAGGAAATTGGCACAATGAGAAAGAGAGCTCATCTTCTTTATTAGCAAAATGTTGCCATGACATTGACCTTTTATGTCATTGGATGGGAGATAAGAAATGTCAAAGTGTGTCCTCGTTTGGACATTTGAGTCATTTTAACAAGCAGAATAAAGTAAGTTCTAAAATGACGATTTTAACAGATTTGGTGAGAATGTGTGAAGACTTATATTTCCCAAATAAACATCCTCAGCTTTTGAAATCATGCTCTACACTGGTATTAAAGGCTTACTGTTATCGTCGCGATTATTGCAGCCAAAGAATGCAGCTAGTCGATGCCTTGACTGTCCTGAAGATGTGCAAAGACAATGTCCTTACTCAGCAGTAAAGATTTACATTGAAAACGGAATAAAATCTGTTAGTCATTCTTTTATAATCATTTTCTAATGGAATGAATTTCATTCTTTTCACTATTTAAAAATTTGATCATATTTTTCATTGAGTATCGTAATTTTTAGTTAAATAGAGGCTGGCCCGTGTCTGTGTTGACCTCTGAACTTCCTGACATAGAAAACGTCACAGAGGCCTTAAGGACGGGACCGTATGGACGCTGTGTCTATGACATGGATAATGACGTAATGTCACAGCAGGTACCAAACACAGATTGATCAAAGTTTTATTTTAGCCTTTCTTCATGTTTTTTGAACTTATTATGTATATGTCATGTATGATAAAAACAAAGAAGTGAATGCATGGTTTTGTTTATGTATATTTTTGGATTTTTTTTTTGGTTTGAAATGAGAAAACAAATAGTTTTCAAGCTCAAAGTCGATTTAAACAACACAAATCCTTTTAAAAAACATGGGAGGTGGGATCAGGAACCATTGAGAAGTAAGCATCCCCTGTCTCGTTTAAATAATCTACTTACAGCATGCGCATCAAATCAATTGAGTGACACCAAAGAAGGTGATAATTGTATGTGCTACATTAGTAAGGAAAATTGGCGATAGAAAAGTTATAGAAGTCATCACATTTATAATAAGATTTTGTTGTAGGGTTACCAATTTTATCTTTTGCTTTTTTAAAATATCAGAATGTTAGACATACTCGTATGTATTAGACTCTGTGGTGTCCCTTATTTCAAGGTTCACTGAAATATACTTGTATATCCAATTGACTTATGAATGAAAGTAGCTATTGTTTATTAATATAATGTCGTAGATATATCTAAATTGTCAGTTAAAGGCTATAGCAAATGGACATAAATGATGACAAACTTTATGATGACAAACTTTTTTCTTCAGAAAACATTCACTTCAACTGATAAATATCTTTATTTCTCCTTCTGACGAAAATGACCATACTCAGCTAGTTCCGCTTACAGTTGCTTTTATGTTTTTCACTTGTTTATATGTACATGGGGAATTGAATAAGTTCGGAAGAAGCTCACAAAATAAAGGAAAATAGGAAACTACCAAGAGAAAATGTATTTTTCATGTCTCTTATGTTTTAGGTGGTTAATATGCAGTTTTCTGGTGGAGCCACAGCTTCAATGTCAATGATTGGATTTACAGAATCTGTTTGTCGTAGGGAAGTTAATGTGTTTGGAACAAAAGTAAGATTTCCTTCTTTTTAAGGTATTTACTCCAAATTGAACACACAACTAGTCCTAAAACTTTTTTTTCTTGAATGATGTCAATTTTTTTATTTATGTGTAGAAATTGCATTGTAGGGCGAGATAAGGTACCGAGATGGACAATCGGAGATTTTACAAGTTGATTTTGTTTCTGGAAAAAGATGTAAGTAATCAAACCCGTATACATTATTCATCATCAAATTAGTTTCTAACTTTTTGACTGTATATATTTTCACGAAAACTTAATATTCTATTCAAGCAAGAAAATGATCCTAGTGTTCTGAATATAATGAAAAATACATGGATGTCTGATCTTCTACTTTAATATTCATTTAAGATTTTCTTCAAAAGGAAAGTAGCATTTAGTAATTAGATAACCAATTTCACAGATCACCATGAACTGGAATCTAAACATTCTGGACCTTTGAGGGGACACGGGGGAGCAGACTACTGTTTAATGGAACACTTTCAGCACGCAATTCATGTAACTTAATGTTACTTTGAAATCTTACATTTTTTCTTTTAAATACAGATTAAGATATTTTAAATATAGTAATTAACTGATATTGAAAAAATGCTAGAGTTTCTAATCGACAATATTTATGTGGTTTTTGGAGACCATGTCGTCCAACAACCTGTTGGAATATTCATGGGTACCAATTGCGTCATGCTATTAAAAGACATACATGTATTTTTGTATTCATGCGAGGAAGGAATTATCCTTAATCTTATACGTGAAAAGAAAAAAAACACTTGCTGTGGCCTTGAACTCGACATTCAAATACATCGACGACGCTTTGTCTATTAACAATAGTAATTTTCCATTCTTATGTCGATACGGTATATCCTGGTGAGCTTTAAATAAAAAAAAATTCCACAGAGACCGACACATATGTTTCATATTTAGATAATAATATACTTGAAAAGACGTTTATGATAATCTAATAACCAAGTTTTATTACAAACAATACGACTTTACTTTTCAATCAAAAACTACCTTTACTTATGAAGCAATATACATTCATAACCTGCATACAGGGTTTTTATTTCACAATGGATTCGATGGGCGAGAGCTCGTTCTACGTTTAAACAATTTTGAAAACGAGATATATTATTGACAAAAAAGTTGATGGAACAAGAATATCAACAGTCTTGTTAAAATCATAATTTCCTAAGTTCTATGGTTTATACATTAATCTTGTCAGCAAATACAATTTATTATAAGTCAGATGTGGACTGATATTTTTCATGCTAATTGTTAAGCGAGTGTGACGGGTCAGCAGGGGATGCTCCCTCCTAAATGACACCTGATTCCACCTCTGATGTTTTGGCAGTCCGTGTTTTCTCTGCTCCTAATTTGTATTGTTTCATGGACTTTTGAGCTTTGAATACTGGGATATTTTATGAGCATGACTAAAAATGTTTGATGAAAATTGTTTGTATCATTTGTCCTTTATTAAACGGGCTCAAGTATAACTTGACTGGCATGCTTTTACCTTTTTATTCTACAGCGTAAAGATTTTTCTGGAATTAAAACTGGTGCAGAAGAGACTCTTGCTAGCCATTTAGTGGTGTTTGCGGCAGAGAAAGCACGGAAGGAAAACAGAGTTGTTACTATCAGCGAAGACATGTCTTTTTCATGATTGCTACAGCAGGCCTCTGAGTATAAAATAAAAAAAAAATATTAAAATTAACCATTTTTATTTACTTTATCTGATTTTTAAAATTTATTTTATGCCTTGCTGGGAAATGCAATAAACAATGTTGTGTACATATTCGGATGGAATAGAATTCAGAAATTAAAGCAAAATGAACTGCATTTTTGAAAACTTTTTTTTTGCTGTTAAAATGTGTTATTATGATAAATTTGTCTGTAACTTACACCTTTATGATTAATTAGAATAAAATAAAGCAGAAGAAAACTTCTATATATATAATCCAATATACAGTTACAATTTTGCAACAAAAAATTACAACATCAAAGTTGCTGCTCATATTCCTTTTACTAAGAGCATCAATTTCTGGATAATCAGCTACATTAATAACAGAATTTTTAATCAAAATGGATATCATTAAAGCATACACCTTTTCAAAACTTTATACAACCATTCACCAACGCGTTTTATCGCATCACTGACAGCTGCTTTTTCATTAAAATTGTTGAATTTACTTGATGATTTATTTGTTGTTGTTCTTGCTAAATTGGATCTGTCAATGTTTTGCTGATTTGATTGGCGACCAACAATAAAACTCGTCACATACAAATAAATAAATAAATCTTAACTAATAAAGATAATCGAAAGATGTACTCATATTTATGTTCCTAGCATAAGCTAGGAACTCAAATACCCTTTTTTCTGCAGAACTCTGCAAAATTCAAAACATCACAGTTCTACAAACCCTGTATTCACAATACTTTTACAAAGGAACTTACGACTAAGACCAAATTTTCATCTGCATATGAATTTTTAATTAAAGTACTAGTATTGAAAATGGTTATATTTTCGTTTTATAAGGAATGCACTTAATAAGATACTTTTCAGCATTACATTTGCAAAATGTTATAATCAACTGAAGTTCTTTTGTAAAACAGGCCCCCGGACTCCGAATAGAGACTTTGTTATAGGAAATGAAAGCACTAGATCTCTATTCTTTCTGTTAGTATTAGAAATTGGACGGAAGAGTACAATCAATTAACTTGTGTATTGGCTTGGCCATTTTATGCATAAAGAGAACCTAGTAGTTTTTGATGTGAAAAAGTCGAACTAGCCCTGGCATTGTATATATCGAGGTAGGGATGATTCCTATCCATTAGATCATTGCTGGTTTTGTTGTATTGAGACATGTATTTATACAATACATTATTATATATATTACATAATATTCTAATGTAATTTATATGATACTGTCAATTTGAATAAATGTCTAGAATATTTTAAATGTAACTAAATCACAAGATATACAACATTTTGTGTCAGGGGCAATAACGCCATTAAACGATGTAGCAACATCGTATTTTTTTTAAAGTGGGGGGGGGGGATCAGCCAGAGAAAAAATGTTAACCTTGAGAAGCAAAACAAAAAACCCAAGAAAATTCTATTCCATGTGAGTGTAAGAGTTGCAGGGGGGTGAGGGGGGGGGGGGGTTACAGGCACGAAGATTCAGAGAGAGAAAGAGGAGCTGGCTGCCCACCCCCACTTTTATTCAGACATAACTTTTTTCCTATAGAACATTTAAAGTCCGGCTGTCCCCCTCCCCACTTTATGTTGTATTATAGTGAAATGAGAGAGATGCAGTATGTGGGAGTGTAAAAAAATGGTACTATAATGGATACTGGAACGTAACACTCAAAATAGAATTTATGAGTTTAGGCATTTTTTTCCTTCCACCAATCAGATCAAAGGTTTATGTGGCGCATAGCAGAGTCAGCTGATGTCAGCAAAACACGGAATATGTGCTCATATAATGTTAGAGACGCATAATCACTTTCATTTTGAATACTTAAAATAATATTTGAGGAATTTAAAACACATATTTATGACAAGACCTTTTGGTCTTTATTGGGAAAATAATATTTATCGTGAAATTACAGAGACATCTCTCAATTTTAAAGAGATATCTTTATAAAATTGAGATATCTCAATTTTTAACTCTAAGAGATATCTTTTTGAAAAAGAGATATCTCTTTCACTTGGAGAAATATCTCTTACATTTTTAGAGGTATCTCGTTCACATAGAGAAATATCCATATTCACATTCTTTCTTCTTGAGAGATTTTTCTTTCGTTTAAAGAACATCTCTTAACGTTAGCAAGATATCTCTTTTTTCTTGAGGGGTACTTTTCCAAGTTAAAGAGATACAGATGTATTTCTCAGAGTGAAAGAGATGTCTTTCTAAGTGTGTCTTCAGAGACCCCTCTCAAAGCTAAAGAGAATAGAAAAGAGATATCTCTCAAGCACGAATATGTGCCTCTTTGATGTAAAGAGATATCTCTTGCTTATCATTATTTAAATAGCATTTTTAATATTTGACTTCTCCGGTTCTCCCTTTACCAACAATAAGCTTTATATTCACAGAAATTAAAGCATTAAAGTATTCTTAAAAATCGACCTTTTCTACATTATAACTTAACTAAATATGACACTTAATCCAGTAGTGTCTAGATTTACAATTAGAAACAGTTGAATAATTCATAAGCTGAGATAATTCGGTCCATTGCAGTTGAGATTATCGTTTACTATAATTTTCCTGAATATAAACCTTTAGCATGTTTATCAATATTTGCGTTATCTTTTGTTGTTTTAAACAAGGGGCTTAACATTTTCTGTCTACAAAGTACATGTAAATATTTTATTTTAGGGAATAAATATTGAGTCTTTTTCCCATTGCAGGATATTATTCCAGAGACTTCTTCCTAAGTCGGTATGTATGAAAAGGGGTTGAAAAATCCACTTAATTTAAGGTTCACTTTAAACGAAATAACTTTCATTAAATTAAAAAGCCGTCTCTTTAATTTAGAAATATATCTCTTTAACCTTCTTAAAGAGATATCTCTCTAACTTTAAGAGACATCTCTCTAGCTTATAAGGAAGTCTCCTCAAGAGCAAGAGATATCTTTTTTTCTTTTTCGTTTTAAGAGAAATCTTTAAAAGACATACTAAAAATATCTCCTTTTATTGTTTTATCTCTATAAGCTAAAGAGATATCTCTCTTATTGAAACAAACTGAAAGATTTTTTTTCACAAATAAATTGTAGAAGGGCTTGTCCTATGTGTTGTATGTGTTATGTTGTGTAGATTCTTCTATTGTTTTATAATTTATGGTAGTTTTTATACTTATAGTATGTCATGAAAATACTGTTATTGGATTAGACAATCTTATGTATGATAAGACTAAACAGTTCCTGTTTGTTTTGGTCAAATGTCTTAAAATAGATTTTGACTAACCTGTGCTATGTTGTCACATATTTAAACGTGTAACTGAATTTCTTTGCAGTTTTAAATTAAGAAGAGTGTGACTATTTTATCTGTGTTCTACAGCATAATCATATATGTACACGGGTAAGTTAAAACGACTCTTCTTTAGATTACGATCGATTTTGTGGGTAAAGGTTAGGCATCGTCATATAAATTTATGCATTCGTTATCTTATAATCGGAGATAAACTTTTGAAAGATGGCTTTGCCGTCATATTAATGATAAAAAAACGGTGTTTGTATTTGTAAGTTCCTGTTTGTTTTAGCTCACCTGAGCCAAATGCTCACGTGAGCTGGTATATAAATGCACCCCCCCCCCCCTCCATCCAACACACACACAGATACAAATACGCAAATAGGCCGTCCACCCGTATTTTTATTTACTCCGATGATCCCTGACGTAGGGGATTTATAGTGACACAATAAACGTTCAAATGTAAAATGAATATATAAGAAGAAATCTTTTAATTAAAAATTCTTCAGAAGAACGGTAAAGCTATGATTTGTGATATTTACATGCAATCATCCTAAGGTTAGTAATGTTGATTTAATTTTGTTCATACAATAGCCCTCAGGGCGAAGAACAATAGGGCCGTAGTTACTCAGATGAGCGTTGTGGCCCATTGGCAAACTCATGGATACTACCTACACTATATGAAGTCGTAATGACAATTCAACATTACTGACGTATTACATGTGATACGTTAGAACAAATGAAATCTTGTACAGATATGAAATTCCACTGACCAGAAGCTGACATATCTTACAGGAAATAAAATGACTAGTAACAAGGATAAAACGACTGCTATAGTGATCGGTGTCGGCATGAGAGGAATAGGCTACGCCTACTTTCAACATTGCAAACCTAAGGAATTCAAGGTAAACAGACTCGATATTATATCATTTTATTAATTCAGTTTAATTGTGATAAACAAAATTTTGTTTACAGTTTTTAAATTTAGCAGACATACCCCAAATAAGTAAATTATTAAAAAAAAAAAATAAAAAAATAAAAACGAGATCAGATTTCATAGAACTATAAGTAAATATTTGCTCCAGAGATCAAAACTCGGGGCATACACCCCATAAGCCTCTTCCCTGCAAATCTTGAAGTGACTATATGAAGGTAAAAATTTTTTATTAAGGTCTTGACTAGTATAGGTATGAAGTTAAGTTTTGGACTGAAGTATATATACTGTGCATCTATATGTAAATCCAGATCCAAATTAAGCAAAAGAAGGTCAATGTTGCAATTTGTGTTGTACCTTGACCAAAGATACTGTGATATGACCCGAATTTTTTTTTTATAGGGTCAAGGTAAAATCCATTTTCAGCTCACCTGAGCCGAAGGCTCAAGTGAGCTTTTCTGATCACATTTTGTCCGTCGTCCGTCCGTCTGTCTGTGCGTCTGTAAACTTTTCACATTTTCGACTTCTTCTCAAGAACCACTGGGCCAATTTTGACCAAACTTGGTACAAAGCATCCTTGGGTGAAGGGGAATTCAAATTGTTAAAATGAAGGGCCAAGTCCCCTCACAAGGGGAGATAATCAAGAAAAGACAAAAATAGGTTGGGGTCATTAAAAAATCTTCTTCTCAAGAACCACTGGGCCAGAAAAGCTGAAACTTATGTGGAAGCATCCTGTGGTAGTGTAGAATTCAAATTGTCTAAATTATGATTAAAAGGGTAGGCTGGGTTCACAGTATGTATTACAAGGGGGAAATCTGGTAAAGAACAGAATGGCCAAAGCTTCTCAGGTGAGCGTTGTGGCCCATGGGCCTCTTGTTGATACAACTTAGCATCACTTAGACCATTTTTGCTTCACATACATAGCGTCTTATTTCA